AGGCGCACATTTTCTCTCAACAAATGAAGCTAACTTTACTAAAGCTAACGTCTGTCATTGTTTCTATAGCCTTACGTTATAATCAATGTTCCCTCTAATTTTTTTTCTTGCTGAGCAAAACTTTTTTCTATTGGCCGGACATTTTTCGCCACCTGAGCAAAAATATTCTTTATACCTGACCTGTACAGCATGTAGAAACACAATGGTTTCAACATTCAGTTGTAACTTTTAACTTGAATGTGCCATTTCTATTTTATTTGACCCTTGATGTAACTTATTGGTATTAAATCATATTTTCTAAAAACAAGCAGTTAATTAAGAAGTCACATTTTAGGTTACCTGATATTTGTTTTACAGTGCTGTTAACTGTACAGTCTTTACCAAGAAATCCTATGAAAAATGATTTTCAAAATTATGCAGGACAGTTCAATTCTTTACAACAATAGATATAGTCTGAAAGAAAAGTAAGCTGTTACACTGAGATGGTTTGGGAAAACCATAAAGTGTTTTTGTACAGTCAATTAATTGTGTACAGGAAGCATTAAACCATCAAAGTTAAATGCTTATGAATTTCCAATATTTTCTTTGGCAGGGGGTTTTAAACTTTTTAATGGCAAGGAGCCCTAAACAATACCCTTGTGAGATTCTTTATTTAGGCTTATCATATAATAAAATATAGGCCTAATATAATATAAAAAAACGAATTGAAGTATTTGAAGTGATATAATATATCAGTTTAAATGCTTCAATTTGTTTACATATTATATTGTTATAATATGAAAACAAACTGAAGCATTTAAATAGATCTAATAGCTAAATATTTCCAAGAAAAGTGAATATGTGAACTTTAACTCTTTTATAATCGAACCATCCTTGAAACTCCCCCACACACAAAAACATCTATTTAAACTAATGATGTATTTTGAGTTTGCACGCGGGTGGGTGTGTAATACCGTTCTGTGTCCATCAACCGTTATTTCCACCACTTTAATCAAACCACTCTTCTTTAAAACATGATATTGTGATTTTATTTCACATGTCTTTGCGTTTCTCGTCGCCTCTCGTATTGAGCTATTGGGTCCGCACACACACACACTCACTGCCAATCACACGCGCTCGCATCGTTCTCTCTCTATGAAACCTGTAACCTGCATTCACTCTATAGCGGTTGACCAGAGCACTGAAATTATTTCTCACTTAAACTACAATCAAATGGATTTCCCCACACGTTTCGCGTCAGTCCTCTGCGTGGCATTTTATTCTTTTCTGCGCGGCCGCCGCTTGAGAAGTGCGCAGCTTAGAGGGAACATTGGTTATAATCGTAGCGTTACGCCGTCATCGAGTGTTTTGTACCAGACTGCACACACACGAGCAGCGGATCTCGCTCGTTGTTTCGCTTCCCGGGAGATGTAGTTCATCGAGCGATTTTCACATAAAACTAAATGTTACTCTTCTGTTTTATGACAAACTGTGACTTTCATGACTTTCAGAGTTAAATTGACAAGCATCACATGTGTAATTCAGGGCACAGTTCAGACGGAATACAAAGACAAGTTGTCTCTCGCCATATTTCTTCCGAAATAAGGTCCCATGAGCCGAAAGCAAAGGCTCTCTATACAAAATCACCGTTAGCTAAAAATGTATTAATTTAAACAATGTAAGGAAGGAGCAATGTGTAATGGTGTTGTTCTGTCCTGACCAGCTCAGCATCTGCAGCAACAGACCGGAGAGTGTCTCACGGCTTGCTGCGGCGACTCCGATCCTAAAAGCCTGTCTCTTCCCGATTCCCCCAAATCCAACAACCGTCCCTCGGCGGACCGGCCGTACCACTGCCAGGACTGCGGGAAATACTTCCGAATCAACGACATCAAGAGACACCAGAGAATACACAGCGGAGAGCGTCCGTTCCCGTGCTTCCAGTGCGGGAAGAACTTCCCCACGTCTGGGGATCTGAAACGACACGAGAGAATCCACACGGGAGAGCGTCCGTACCACTGTCTTCAGTGCGGGAAGAACTTCTCCGACTCCGGGCATCTCAAGCAACACGAAAGAATGCATACGGGCGAGAGGCCGTACCAGTGTTCCCAGTGCGCGAAGCGCTTCTACAGATCAGGAGATCTCAAACGCCACCTGAGGATCCACAGTGGCGAGCGCCCGTATAAATGCCTCCAGTGCGGGAAAACCTTCTCGGATTCGGGACACTTGCGTGGACACCAGCGCATTCACACCGGGGAGAGACCGCACCGGTGCACCCTGTGCGAGAAGAGCTTCTTTAGATCCGGGGATTTGAAGCGCCATCACAGAACACACACGGGCGAGAGGCCGTATCAGTGTTTCCAGTGCGGGAAGAGCTTCTCCGAGTCGGGACATCTGAAGGAACACCGCAGGATCCACACCGGGGAGAAGCCGTACCAGTGTAACCAGTGCGATAAGAGCTTCTCCAGGCTGGAGCGTCTGAAGGGCCACCAGAGCATCCACACGGGCGAGAGGCCGTTCCACTGCACACAGTGCGGGAAGAACTTCTTCCGCTCCGGAGAACTGAAGCGGCACCAGAGGATTCACAACGGGGAGCAAGCGTGAAGCGCCTCTGCACCGGCGAGGGCGAGACTACCAGGCAGAGGATTTGGCATCGGTACCATTCTTAATGCTTTTAAAGAGAAGTCTCTTCTGCTCACCAAGGCTGCATTTATTTCATTAAACATACAAAAAAACTGTAAATCAGCTGTTCTCTATGTGAATGTACAGTAAAGTGTAATTTATTCCTGTGAGCAAAGCTGATTTGTTTGTTTTTTTGCAGTCTTCAGTGTCACATGATCCTTCAGAAATCACTCTAATATTGTGATTTGATACATTTCTGGTTATTATCAGTGTTAAAAACAATTATTTACATTTGTATTTCAGGAGTATTTGATGATTGAAAGTTCAAAAGAACAGCATTTATCTGAAATGGAAAGCTTTTGTAACATTAAACACTACCGTTCAAAAGTTTGGGATCAGTAAGAACTTTTATTTTATTTTTTGGGGGGGAAATATATCAAATAAATCAATACTTTTACTCATCAAGGATGAATTAAATGGATCAAAAGTGACAGTAAAGACATTTATAATGTTACAAAAGATTCTATTTCAAAAGATAAATGCTGTTCTTTTGAACTTTCTATTCATCAAAGAATCCTGAAATAAAACTGTTTTCAACACTGATAATAATCATAAATGTTTTATGTGCACCAAATCATCATATTAGAGTGATTTCTGAAGGATCATGTGACACTGAAGACTGGAGTAATGATGCTGAAAATTCACAGGAATAAATGACACTTTAAAAATAGAAAAGTCATTTTAAATGTTCATAATATTTAACAATATTACTGTTTTTTTTGTTGTATTTTTAATCAAATAAATGCAGCCTTGGTGAGCAAAAAAAAAAACTTTTTAAAAACATAAAAAATCTTACAGATCCAAAGCTTTTGTCTGGTGGTGTTTGTGAAGGCCGAATGGGCCGTTCAGGTTACTCTAGTGCACCTGTGATACCGTAGAGAACTGATTCTCACTGACTTTTCTTCCATTTCCCCATTAGAAACCAGCATAATGCTGAACTCTAGCATTGTGACAAACACGTGCACCAGTTGTTCATTGCCGTAGACCGTTATGAACGCCTACAAACGCCCCAGATTTCCTCGGATCCCGTCAGTGGCGCTGATCATGTGATCAGGTTGTTGTTCACACTGTCTGTCTGTATGTTGTTGCCAGATATATAGTCAAGTGGCTCATTAGAACTGTATATTGTACAGGAGGATATTATTATTGTGTATGCTTGCATTCCCTGTATTTAATGAATCCCCCTCAAATTGTTTTTGTTTTATATAAACATGAATACTGTTTTATTGTCATAGTCGACATGAGACGATGCTTCTGAATCCTCTAATTTTGATGTGACCGTATGGTTCGTGTCAGTCTCTCAATGGTGGCAGAGTCTTACCAGTCGCAGTTAAACACTTGTGATCCACAGAACACAGTTATTGTTTAACTATAACACTTTATTGTCACAAATATCAGTTACAAACTATAGATATGCTCATACTAAATCGATGTTGAGCACCAGGTGAATTGTATAGCAAACTGAGCTTTCTCATAATAAATCACATTAGATTTAGCTTTTAAGTTTTTATAAATTAGCTATTTACATTTATTATTGTTTCGAATTGTCATCTAATTTTTACTTTCTCTATATATGTGTGTATTTAACCATTTGTAGTCGGTGTGTATTCAGTTTGGAAGGCTTAAATGCGATCAGAAAGGCTTTTACAGCAATAAGAGCAGTGTTAAGGGATGAGTTATAATTATAACCGTTTTGCTTCTTCATGTGCATGAATGTTTTCTTCATAATGTGTGCCATTAATAAACATTTCACCTGTACTAATGCCAGCACACATGAAGATTCGTTTATTGGTCTTGTGTAACATTTTACATTTCCACGATTAAATAAATTATATAACTAAAGATGAATCGAGTGATTAAGGGTTGTTTAATGTTTGTATGGTGCTTAACGAATATTTTCGTATCTGTCTTAGTAAATTACTCGCACGTAGTTTTCTATTATATAATTTAAACGATTTAATATTTAGAAGTAAACACTGCAGACCGTTTCCGCTTTCTTGTGGAAGCGATGCTCATTTTACGACATCTGCGTTGGCTTTACGGCACTGATCAGTCGGAAGTCTGGTAACCAGGGAGACGGCTGGCGGCACTGCGGTCAGCGCGAGACGGTGAGCTGTTATTGATTCGAAATCTCATATTAAATACATGAAACAGTAAGTTTTCTTAGTCCGATATGTGTTTTCTAACGTTTCCACGAAACTATGAACGGCGCTTGACGGGGACGGAGCGGTCTATGAGCGAAACACGGTTCATGTGTAAACAAAACAAACCAGAAACAGAAACTCGTGAAAACTAGCAGCCTTCTTTGTGAGGATCTGATTCTCATGTGACCGTCATTAGCTTTAATTTGACTGATTAACGGCCGTTTTCGTTTATTTTCGTTCATTTAAAAGGCATTTAGTGATGTTTTCCAGTCAGTTAGCGCTTGTTGAGCTGCTGTAGTTCAGCACTGATCAGAGGTCAGGGCTCAGGTGTGCTGTTTCTTCTGCAGGTGGTGGTGATGATGTCAGACAGGTGGGATGTTCAGCTGTTGTGAAGCTTCTGGAAACTCACCGACTGCTTGCACTCACAGGTGAGATGTTTATGAGGGTTTATACGAGCTGTTGATGTTTTCAAACGCTCATCAGACCTGCACTAAAGTGACCTGTAACCTAGTTTGCAGTTTGCAAGAGCATTGTGTAAAGCCTTAAAGGGATAGTTCACCCAAAATGAAAATTCAGGCATTAATTAGTTACTCACCCTCATGTCTTTCCAAACCCGCAAGGCTTTCGTTCATCTTCAGAACACAAATGAAGATCTTTTTGAGGAAATCTGAGCGATTTCTGGCCCTCCATTGACAGCTACGCAACTACCACTTTGACATAAAGAGCTCGTAAAACTAATTCATACGAATTGAGCGGTTTAGTCCAAATTTTCTGAAGAGACTTGATCGCTTTATATGATGAATAGATTGAATTTCGCCTTTTATTCACATTTAAACGGATCAAACGTGCTGCGTAACTCGAGAATGAACCTCATTGGTTCTTGTGAAGCGCAAACGTTCTCGCCTAACACAAGAATAACCCTCATTGGTTCTTGGATTTTATATCATGTTAATTTGAAAAAATATATATAATATGAGTTTTGTTTGGTTTTATTGTGTTTATATGATATTTATATTTTTGTAATTTAATTTTTGCCATGAAAATAGCCTTAGATGCTGACATGGCATTAAATAAAACTATCTTTCTGTGTTTCTCCAGAGCGATTCCATGGAGGTCCGTAAGCCGGTCCTGGAGCTGAAGGACGTGCCTCCCCCGCCCCCCCACAGCACCGGCCCACACACACACTCGTGTCTCAGCGTAAGCGTGTGCTCCTGCTGTGAAGCGAGCGTTCGTCTGCAGAAGAGCTCGAGTGGCGTCACCGGTGGAGGCTTTCCTCTGTATCTCTCCCGCTCACACACTCTCACACACACTCCTCCAGCGTCACACTGCGCCGGTCTGAGGCCGACACACACCGGCTCCTCTCTGTGTAAACTCTGTGAGTGTCGTTTCCCACACGGTGACCCGTCCTCACCCCCTCACCTCTGCTCTAACTCACTCCAACACGCGTCGCGGTGTGTGACGGGCGCTCACTGTTTGCAGGACTGCTGGAGAAAGGTTGGTGGATCCGATCGCTCGCTCACTGGCTGCGTTTACATGCAGAACTTTAGTTTTAGCCGGACTGAACTCATCCCGATTGATAAATCTGAATGTAGTGTTTACATGAACGCTAAACATGATCGTGTTGATGTGCGTGTTTACACTGCAAAAAATGCTTTTCTTACTTAGTATTTTTGTCTTGTTTCCAGTCCAAATATCAAACATTTCTTAAATCAAGATCCATTTACTAAAGTAGTAAAATGACACAAGATATTAGGTCTTGTTTTCTGGGGAAATAAATAAAAATTGAGTTTTTGCTTAAAACAAGCAAAGTTATCTGCCAATGGGGTTTTTCTTACCCCATTGGCAGATAATTTAGCTTGTTTTAAGCAAAGACTCACTTAATTTTTTGTTATTTCCCCAGAAAACAAGACTTTAATATTAATATCTTAAATATTTAATATCTTATTGTGTGACTGTCTGGAGTCAGGATTCTCAAATGACTCTGAAACCAGTTAGATGTCTGTTTAAACAAACACAGAAAAATTTGGACAAGAAACCAATTAGATGGCATCATTGTAATATTTTTACACAAATATAGTTTGCTTGGTTTTGAAAATTTTATAAATCTTTCTCTCATTAAAATGGTTTTTAAATGTGTAAATGATCTTGCACTAGATATCATATTGAAGAACATGTATAAAGGTTGGATCCGATCGCTCGCTCACTTTAAATCAGGATATATTTTTTGACATGCGCTCATGCAGGAATATACAGAGTTTCCCGCTGTTTGCACATAATAACTATCCTCCTACATCGCTTCTTTATTCGTTTTAAACGGCAGACTTAATATATTTAATCCATTTCTGATAAAATAAAATTCTGTATCAAATGTATAGGCAAGACAAGTAGTTTGTTTAGGCATGGTTTGTAGGGAAATTACAAACCTGCGCACACATATTCAAACAAATATAACTATAGAATAAATTCTTAATGCGCATGTGAACGCCATCAGGTCACAGGTTCAGTTTAAAGTCTGTTTAGAGAGAACGCCGTCGTCTTAGTGGCCCCTAATGTAATAACAAATGATAATTTTGCTGGAAGTGAATCAATCAAAACCAACTTTAGCCGAAATAACATTATTCAAAATCGCTATAAAGCCAAAACAATCTCTGTTACCGTAAATTGTATGTTTATCTCTTTAAAGCTGCTTTGAAACAATCTCCATTGTTGAAAGCGCTATATAAATGAAGATGACTTGACTTGAACGGAGGATTATAGAATGATGGGAAACTCATTTATACGACACTTTCTTCATCAGGAGAACAGCTCGTCACACGTCATTACACATGCGCAATCCTTTCAGTTTCGGTTCTCAATCCGATCAAGTGTTTACATGTTCTCTCGATCGGTTTAGAATAGGAATAACCCCCCCCATTCAATCGGATTAAGGCGTTTACATGAAGGCTTCTCAGTCTGATTGAGCTTCACTCCGATCACTAACGGATTATTTGTTTGCATGTAAACGCGGCCACTGTTGATCCGAGCACATCCTTTTAATCCAGAGAGAAGGCGAGGCAGAATGTGTAAAGCGGCTCTCGTGTGGATTCTGCGCTGAAATCTGACATCCATCTCTTCTGCTTTGTAGAGTTTGCGTGTCGACTCGGAGAAGGTTTGGCCGAACATCCCTCCGCCCGTCCCGGTGTGCAACGGCTGCGGCGTGACAGGAGTTTCCTCCGACGGTCTTCTGGGTGTCCACCTCGGCAAAACCCCACAGAAATATGGTCTGTACACACACCAAATGCACATTGTTTTACTAACTGCTGATAGTGAGGCCGGTTGCACGTTACAACCTAGTTTTGATGAAAAGGAACACCACTTACTAAATACTTTTGCATTGCACCATTAAATATAGTTGCAGCGTAACTCTATGTATAACTAAATATTTTTGGAAGCCTCTGACCAGGAATAGTTGTTGAAATGAAATAGCAGATTGACTGAATTGCATCAATTTTACCCAGCAATCCTTTATACATGTATGATAATGCTTACATTAGGATTTCTGCGGGTCTTAATTCACTTTTACACAAATTAAAGCCTTAAAAAGGTCTTAAATCAGATGTGGTAGAAATTCATCACCGCACCTGACTTAAGTTTACCTGGGTCGACACTTAAAGGGTTAGTTCACCCAAAAATGAAAATGATGTCATTAATGACTCTCCCTCGTGTCGCTCCAAGCCCGTCAGACCTCCGTTCATCTTCAGAACACAGTTTAAGATATTCTAGATTTAGTCCGAGAGCTTTCTGTCCCTCCATTGTAAATGTGTGTACGGTATACTGTCCTCGTCCAGAAAGGAGATAAAGACATCATCACAGTAGTCCATGTGACATCAGTGGACTAAATACATTTTGCTCCAAAAATAACCAAAACTAGGACTTTATTCAGCATTGTATTGTCTTCCGGTTCTGTTGTGGATCCGCGTTCAGTGCCGCCGCTGACGTGTGTGTGTGTGTGTGTGTGACGTAAGACGCTGCTGACGTGTGTGTGTGTGACGTAAGACGCTGCTGACGTGTGTCTGGTGTGTCCGAGCTTCGTCTACAGTCTGAGGGAGACGCACGCTGGAAACTAAACAATCTTTGCAAACATGTCTAAGGATTTCCACACAGAGGAAGACTTGCATTTTTTTGCCCAGCCATATTTATTTGAACCCGAATACACGGACGCACCAGACACACGTCAGCAGCGTCTTACGTCAGCAGCAGCACTGAACGCGGATCCACAACAGAACCCGAATACACACACACACACACACACACACCAGACACACGTCAGCGGCGGCACTGAACGCGGATCCACAACAGAACCCGAATACACACACACACCAGACACACGTCAGCAGCGTCTTACGTCAGCAGCGGCACTGAACGCGGATCCACAACAGAACCGGAAGACAATACAATGCTGAATAAAGTCCTAGTTTTGGTTATTTTTGGAGCAAAATGTATTTTCGATGCTTCAACACACTCTAACTAACCCACTGATGTCACATGGACTACTTTGATGATGTCTTTATCTCCTTTCTGGACGAGGACAGTATACCGTACACACATTTACAATGGAGGGACAGAAAGCTCTCGGACTAAATCTAAAATATCTTAAACTGTGTTCTGAAGATGAACGGAGGTCTTACGGGCTTGGAGCGACACGAGGGAGAGTCATTAATGACATCATTTTCATTTTTGGGTGAACTAACCCTGTAATAATATTTATATTAGCACCGCGTCTACAGTCGACAACTGGCTTCGAGTCGGTCGACATCTCAACCTTTTTGAAACCCATCACTTGGGAATAAGGTATTTAGCCTCCTCCACTGAAACACTAGCACTTGAGAATAGAAGTAACATCTCTAGTGTGTAGCCTGAATCAAACAGACTCCAGACAATGCCTTCAAATATGCTTTAATCACGACCGGAGGATCTCAATTTCAGAGAGAATCGCACCAGCAAAAAGAGTGAAACGTTTTTTATAGAATAGGAGAATGGTAAATGTGACATGATTCATTACATAATTTTTGTGCAGTATGATTGGTTCTTCATAATTCAGCAAACCCTTCTGTTACTAGAAGCAAATCCAGATTTTTTGATTACTTCACTTTGTTACTCAAACTCATGAGTTTATATATTTAGACAACCGTCTAGTTTCACTTCCCCTTTAGTTATATTTGGACATGAATCAGACAAACACTGGCTTTGGACAAAGTGTTGGGGACATTTAGTTTTCAAAAGCAAGAAATATAAATGTTAGTTATGAATAATTAAAGAAATCCATCACACAGAGCAGAAAGACTTCATAAAGTTATGGCATTAAATGCATGCATTGCAAAAAAAGAAGGTTTTGTCCTGTTTTCCAATACAAATGTCTTTGATGCATTTACTTGAGATGCAAATATAAAATGGGAGTTTATGCTTAAAACAAGAACAAATATCTTTTCAATGAGTAATGAAAACTTCCCTTTGAATTGTGTGTAAATATTTGACCCCATTTGTTCGTTTTTAGCACAAACTCACTTCATTTTGATCAGTTTCACAAAAAAAAAACATATAGCAGTTTCTTTAATCCAAAGCGACTTACAAATGATGAGAGGAACCAGTTTTGTAATTGTGTATATCTAGTAAATGTATCTTGATTTAAAAATATTTAGACAATTGCACTGGAAAACAAGAAGAAAAAATAAACGAAATAAGAACTTTTTTCTGCGGTGTGATAAGATGCAGTAAAAGTGAGTCTTCAAGCTGTTTTTTTTTTCTTCCTACAAATGAATTAAAAAGTAATTAATATCTTGAAAGTTTTAAGTATTTTAAACCTCTGAAGTGTCGCTAATAATAGTGATAAAATTCGGCTTATGTCAAAATGATTGATGGCCTGTTTGATTGACAGGTTGACCTTCCGGTGTAGGGGTTAGGGATTAACCTTTGACCTGGTTATCCCTCAATCATGTGTTTTTGACAGTTAGTTTGACCTATTGAGTCTCGCTATTATATTTCATTAGCCTGGCTAAATGTATTATTACAATTTCATAATCAATTGAAAGATAATCAATGCGAACCATCAAATGTTCTAGAACAAAGAGGAATATCTTTTACCCGACATTATGAAATACATGAATGCTGAGTCTCCGCGACTCGGCATTCACGGGCTGATCTGAGATACAGAAAAGGCCCTGATCTTCTAGTTGCATTTCATTATGTTTGCATATGAAATGAGGTCTGGCTATATGAGTTCACAGTGGAAACTTACTGTGTTCACCCTCCCAGATTTGCTAACAGTGGGGATTTGCATTCATGAGTTTACGCCTTTTTGGGGCAAGGATCATGTCTAAAGGGCACATTCCTTTGTGTGCCAGTTATCCCTAAACTTCTAAAAAACCTTATTACCTTGTGTTTTACTCTTTTGGAATGAGACATCTGTACCACCCACTCTGGGACATTTAAAATGATACTAAACACAATACTCAATGATAATCATTCACATTTTTTTTTTGATCATATTCAGTGAAATCGACACTATAATCCGACAGAACAACATAAATAAAGTGGTTTTAGAAAAAACTCCGAGCTTCTAACTCCACCTGGAGCTTGTTATTTGTTTTGCAAAAATCCACAGCTTCCGGATCATCGGGTCCAATCAGCGCAGGGGGGTGTGAGATCTGACTGTCAATCACAGATCGGGCACACGCCCCCCCTCGCGCACGTTACAATCACATGCACACGCCTGAAGTTCGCGCAGTAATGAAGAGTGATGGCGGAAAATCAAGTACGCTCATTTAGAGTATAAATGACGTTAGCAATTGCAATCTATCGGTAGATTAGCCAGGACAGCACACCTCCAAATACTCCATGGTGTTGATGGATGCTGATGAGACGGGCGCGTTCACTGATAACCTGGTGCACACGCACTGACGTGCATGAACTCGGTGGGAGGGTATCCGCTGATAGTGGGGGAGGGGCATGAGAGTTGTAAACATTCAAAAATGTTGCCTAAAACCACTCAATCTGCCGGACTTGCCGACTGCAGCTTTAATTTGCTTTCTCTCAGAGAGTGAGAACACTATCCTCCAGTTTTTCCAGTCTTACAACTGTAATGATTTTGTTTAACGGTGACCTAAAGTATAATTTTTATTAATATAGCCATATTTATTTTTGTACTGTAACAGCATATTCTATCCCGTACACCTAAAACACGACCGTCACAGAAAACTGCATTTTTACATTTGCTAAATAAATAAATAAAAATAAATAAATCATTTAATATAATTTCTAAGCGGTTTTGAACTCCAAACACATAAGTCGGTTCCATAAAATTAACATCTCTATTTTTAAATTAAATGATTCTAAATAAAGTATATAACTCAATGAATAATAACATGTTACCAAAATGTATTCATACAAATTAAACATAGTTTTATCTAAATGAATATATATAAATATAAATATATATATATATATATATATATATATATATATATATATATATATATAAAATGACATGTATAAATATAAAAACACCTTACATTTTCATAGAGCTGAAGTAGTTCTTTACGCAATGATAAAAACAAATCCAAAAACCAAATAGTTTAAGTTGTCATAAACAAAGATCCTTCAGTGATAATGTCACAGTAAAGCTGGTCTGCTTTCCAGAGTTTTATTCATACTAAATTTTATTTAAAAGCATAATCTTAAAAGTTTAAATTAGATCTTTTAAAATTAAAAGACTGTTTAAATCAAGTTTTTATTAAAATCATATCTGCTATTTATCTTCTTATAAGACATCTGTATGATATAAATGATTTTGCATACATTTAACCTAAGATATTATTTTTACTAAACGGCGTCTGTTCAAAAAAAAAAAAAAAAATGTTTTAAAGCAAAAACTGTGCTCTGGCGTCTTAGATCTTATTTATACAAAAATATTTCAAACGGTATTTTTGTCCATGCCGCATGAAACATGTTGTCAAAGTTTGTCACAATGTTGTTGTTGTTTGTTTTGTTTTTAAGAAATATTTTAAAATGTTCATTTCATTTATTTTATTTATATAGCACGAATAAACACAACAGAAGTTGACCATTGTGCTTTACAAAACAAAAATCCAGGAAACATGCAGATGCAATGAAAAGCAAAATACCATGTCTCAATGGTAAATGTAATAGAACCATAATTGAAATGTGGAGGATTTTAGAGAAATGCCCGGTCAAAAAGATACAGCTTTAATTTAAATTTAAACTCATATAAAGAGGACAACGATCTCAGGGATTCAGGGAGGCTATTCCACAGCCTAGGACCGACAACTGCAAAGGCACCATCCCCTCTCGACTTTAATCGTGAATGTGGCTGGGACAGATTATAACTGCTAGTGGACCGTAGACACCTACCGGTAGGGTTTGGCGATATGGCAAAAATATCATATCACGATTTTTTTCAGGAAAATCACGATTAACGATTTTATCACGATTCTTTTTCATGTTGGTTTTACTATTTTGCAAGTGAAAAAAGCCTTATAGGTAACAAAAGAAAAAAGAATGGCAGACATTTAGGCCAAAGTGGCGAAGATAAAAATCTTTATCATTATTTTCTTTGTTATTAAGAATTAGGAACAAAGATACACATTAAGCATACACAACTGAATATACAAATGAAATAAACAGTGGTTTATTTTTTCAGCTACAGTAGGGGTATTTAACAGTAGCATTGAAGAAAGTAATTAGGCTAAATGAACAAATACGAAAATAAAACACAACAGACTTCACTGTATAAATTATACATTATTATTAAAGCTACTACTAAAGTTCTCAGTCAAGGGCAGTGAGTGATTTCCTCTTTGTGTTTTGTTGTTTTATTAACATTAAAGGGATAGTTCTCCCAAACATTTTAATTGTCATCATTTACTCTCTCAAGTTGTTTTAAACCCGAATAAGTTTCTTTCTTCTGTTGAAAATAAAAGTTATTTGGAAGAATGTGGCTAACCAAACAGTTGCTGTACTCCAGTGACTTCCATATGTTTTCCTACTATGGAAGTCAATGGGGACCAGCAACTGTTTGGTAAGCCACATTCTTCCAAATAACTTTTATTTTCAACAGAAGAAAGAAATTAATACAGGTTTGGAACAACATTAGAGTGAGTAAATAATGACAGAATTTTTATTTTTGGGTGAACTATCTCTTTAAGGACAAGAGGCAGCTTGTTTACTAACTGGCTACTGTCGCTTTAAGAGCTGCACGCGACGCGTCTAATATACACGCATTTGACAAGCAGATTTTCTCTCATTTTTTTTCTGTTTGCTTTCACTTTAACCAACTTGGTTTATGTAAACCTTGTGTGTATTTGACAATATTAGCGCAATAAGACTCGAAAGATAACTTATAACGTAGTCCAGTAAACAGACGCTGTTAGACAGGCTTTTAGTGCCCGTGTGCTTCGGGTGTATGCGCTCAGAAAGCACACGTCAGAACAGCGCATCAGCAGTGAATTACATGTTTAACCAGCAAGGCTTTAAAGCACATGCAAATAATGAACTTCTGTGAACTGCAGTGTCCCGTTCCTCTGCGTTAACATTTGTTGTATGTTGAGACGGAGCTCGGCGCCAGAACTGCAACTGATAAAATGCACGATACTACGATATTTCTTCAAAAGCAGATCGTGGAGACATTTTAATCGTCCACGATCAAAAACCGTGATATCGCACACCCCTACCTACCGGCCACATTCGCAGTTAACAGTTCAGATCAGTAAGAAGGTGCAAGGCCATTTAAGGATTTAAAGGATTTCCTGTGACACACATCCTATATAACCCTTTTTGACACCGGCTTCAAACATTCATCAAAACTACATGATACATGACTAGAAAAGCCGATAGGTCAAATCTTATGTCAAAACTATGAAATATAATAGCGAGACTCAATAGGTCAAACTAACGGTCAAAAACACATGATCGAGGGATAATAAGGTCAAAGGTTAATCCCTAACCCCTACACCGGAAGGTCAACCTGTCAATCAAACAGGCCATCAATCATTTTGACATAAGGTGAATGGTATCACTACTAACCACTTTTAAACTTGTTCACTGTTCTTTTTTTATAAATATAGGATTTGTAATCTCTATTCATTGAGTCGAATGGGGAATCGAATTTAGAATCGAATTGTGGGAACATCTGAATCGTTACCCAGCGCTACTCACTGCCTGTGTGTCTGCAGGTTCTTCAGAGAGCGGCGCGCTGGAAACGCTGCCCCCCATCGGGGTGTTCTGGGACATCGAGAACTGTGCGGTTCCCAGTGGACGCTCGGCTGCGACGCTGGTGCAGAGACTTCGAGAGCGCTTCTTTCAGGGACACCGTGAGGCCGAGTTCATCTGCGTGTGTGACATCAACAAAGAGAACAAAGCCGTCATCCAGGAGCTCAACAACTGCCAGGTGCGCACGAGCATCACCCATCAACCAGAGCATGACTGCGTTTCACTCATGAGAAAAAACAACCCAAGGCGACGATCAGCTGGTCATCGTCAAATATTACAAAGAAAATATCTCACCAATAACACGACTAAACCAAGCAATATACAGGTGAAACTCGGAAAAACTAGAATATGGTGCAAAAGTTCAGTAATTCAACTTAAAAGGTGAAACTAATTATATAGACTCATTACATGCAAAGTGAGATATTTCAAGCCTTTATTTGTTATAATTTTGATGATTATGGCTTACAGCTTATGAAAACCCCAAAGTCAAAATTAGAATATTGTGAAAAGGTTTTCATAGCAGTAAGCCATAATCATAATCACACACATGACCAGCGTTGGCCAATAGTGAGTCTACGTGTGACGTACAACCCAGAAGCGCTGCGCTGTTGCACTACGTGAACTCACTCGAGGCCCACAGAGAAGAAGATGAATAGTTGAATAAAGTCGTTATTATTGTTTGTTTTTTGCACACAAAAAGTATTCTCGTTGCTTGATAAACTTAAGGTTGAGCCACTGTCGTCACTCGAACTATTTTAACGATGTCTTTAATAACTTTTCTGGGCCGGCAAGTTTCAATCCCTTAGAAGCCTATGGAGGAGTGAGACAGCTCTCAGATTTAATCAGAAATATCTTAATTTGTGTCCTGAAGATGAACGAAAGTCTGACGGAGTTGGAACAACATTAGGGAGAGTCATTACTGACAGAGTTTACATTTTGGGGTGAACTATCCCTTTAAGCCAGGGGTCGGCAACCCAAAATGTTGAAAGAGCCATATTGGACCAAAAAAAAAAAAAAAAATCTGTCTGGAGCCGCAAAAAACGTAAAAACTTTATATAAGCCTTATAATGAAGGCAACACATGCTGTAAGTGTTATATTAGCTTTATTAGCCCCCTTGTATCAACATAAGTAGGCTACAAATTAGAGTTTAGATTGGGCCCAAAAAAATCAAGCCCGGCCCGACACATTAAACGTAATTATGAGCCCGAGCCCGATTTTAACCCAACCATTTTTTAATGCGTGGGTCGTTATAACTGACGTTCTCAACTTTCTTTCTCCCGCCCGCAACATTTGTTTTGTCCCGTTTCTGCCCGCAAATAGCATTAAAACACAAACCACTGTTAATTTAACATAAAAGCAAGCAGTTTACTGCGTTCTCTTTGCGTTCTCTCTGCAAAGTGCGCTCTCTTAATAATTCCTAAAAAGCTGACAGTTCATCGTGATCTCACACATCTCTGTTATTATCAATGAAGCTGACTGCACAATGAATCTTTCATAATATCCACACTTTGTTCGTTATAATTAGAGGATTTGCCAGCATACAGAATTCAGCACTGAACAAAAAAGTCAGTTTTGAGTGTGAGGGGAGTCTATCTTAAATGCTTCTGATTGGCCTTTGCGTTCCAGAAATCAACACATACCGTAAAACTTCAAATAGTAGCCCGGGCTTTTATTTTCCCAAATCGTCGAACTGCACCGGCTTGTATTTGAGACAGGCGTCTATATGAGGCAGGCCTTTATAATTTAGTGTTTAGATGTTGTTCATTGAGTGTATATAGGCCTGTCTCTAATCTCTAAAAATCTCCAAATGCTCCACGTGAAACTGCAGTCTTCCGACCTTTTACTATTGCGGCAATTGAATTTGTTTAAAATGCGCGAGGGCCTTTATTTACCCAAACCTGCAGCCACACCAGGGGTGTAAAAGAGACAGGCGTCTATTTGGGACTCGGCTATTATTTGAAGTTTTACGGTATGTCTGTGATTGGCTATATCGCTCAACGCTGCAAACATGTTATGAATAGAAATTCTGGCCTGTAAATCGTTTCTATTTGGTTTTAGTAGAGTGAGTGCATTACCGCACGCGCCCGCGCTCGCACTCGGCCATCAAATCTAGTCCCGCGCCGCACTGGAGTGCTCAGCTATCTTTCTCTTTTTCCCCTTGGGATCCATGGCCCACCCGCCGGTTTGTTTGTTTGTTTGTCAGCCACCGGTCTAGCATCACGCCGATCTGACAGACACGTGTGTCACAGTCTGTGACGTAAATTCTTCGTTGACAGAAATGTTGAAATTAAATATTTATTATACACATTTTTACAACGTTGAAAAACTTTAAGAATGTTTGTCATGTTTTTCCTCCTACAGAAATTATATTAAAACAAAATATTTTTTCCATTTTCAAATTTTTGAAAAAGCTCCAGGGAGCCACTAGGGCGGCGCTTAAGAGCCGCATGCGACTCTAGAGCCGCGGGTTGCCGACCTATGCTTTAAGCCATGAAAGAATAAAGGCTTTTTATATTTTCTAAAAACAAATTACTCGTGTGCCTTGGATTGTTTTTGCTTATGTGTGAATCTATCCCTACACCCGAAGAGCACTGAAGTTACACCCCGCGCAGCACTTCTTGCATTCCTTGTATTCATGATTGTTTCATATGCATTTGTTGATTGATGGCTTGATTTGGTCCTGCTCAGGTGACGGTGGCCCACATTAACGCTACAGCCAAAAATGCAGCCGATGATAAACTGCGTCAGAGTCTCAGGAGATTCGCAGACACACACGCTGCTCCCGCTACGGTCATCGTGGTTTCATGTACGTGTCCACAAACACACAACTCTGTTCAAAATATTTAAGAGTATTGACTCATGACAAATCAGATTTATCTCTGTACATAAAAGTGCTGATATAATAGAACATTGTTAGGGAATTTACAGTTAAAGACTGTAATAGCAAATTTATTCATTAAGCAATCATCAAAGCGTAAGAGACAGTCTGAGAATTAAAAATGATTTATTTCTTATAAGAAAGGTTCAGTTGTTCCACAGAGGTAGTCAATGTACAGTCTGCGATACAAGTGAGACGCAGGACGGAGGGGGAGAGTAGTTTGTATACAGCTTATCTCAAGGTCTGTTCTTCTACCATAGATGGACTAAAGTTCAGTTCTCTGCCGTCAGGAAATAGTAATAATAACCTGAACTTTAGGGTTTGGTCATGCTCTTTTGCTCACTCTAAAACCGGCCTGTACTTTGACCTTTGGGGCCAAAGTCCACCCGTCTCTCCCCGTCCACCCATCTCACCTGCTCGCCTCAATCAGCAACAGCAGCATTTATTGGTTTGAAAGAGATGGGAATAATTTTCCCATAACAAGACCCAAGGACCAGATATGATTAATTAGGGGCCAGTTGCATAAACTTAGCCACTATGTTAAGAATGTGCCTTAAGAATTAATTTGAGCGCTAGAAATTAATGTGCCTTAAGAATTAATTTGAGCGCTAGAAATTAGTCAAGAGGAGACCAGTCTTACTTTTCTGATTCACATTAGACAGATCTTCCTTTTTATGTAACTGACTTTAAAAAGTTAGCTCCAGTCTTGAAGAAACTTAACTTTTAAGAGTAGTCTATGTCTAAGACTAGTTTATGCAACCGGCCCAACCGGCAGTCAATTTAAGACGAGTCAGAATTATAATATTTAGATTTTTTTTTTTACTGAAGATAGTTTGTAGTTTCATCAGGCAGAAGTCCAGCTTTAAGACTCACAATGAGTCCGTTTGCCGCTCCGCTTACAGTTACACAGATCACAGCAGTTATACCCTTCACCAAGGTCTAAGCTACGTCATTACTTCAGGTTGAATGATTCTGATTGGCTAAGAAATAGATAAACACTCATGGACAGATACACTGAAGCATATCTCCATTGATTATGCAGCTGACCCTTAAGTTAGGCACGTCGTGACCTTCCAGGTCGCAGATCTGCTTTTCTAGTCGCCAACGTGTCGAAGAAAACAAGTCAGTCCATCTCCAATAATGCCACTTGTTCCTTAACCTGTTACCAAGAAGACTAACACACACACACACACACACACACACACACACACACACACACGTCTGGTCCACTATCTTTGTGTGGACTCTCCATAGACGTAATGGTTTTTATACTGTACAAACTGTATACCGTAATTCCTCAAATAAAGACCGGGGCCTTTATTTACCTGAACTGCAGATGGTAGCCGGCTTTTATTTGAAGCAGGCTTTTATTAGAGGCAGGCCTTTATTTCTAATTCGCGATCCCCGCCCGCCCACCAGCCAAGATTCCATGGTGACGCGTCATGCTTGGCACGTGTTCACCACAGCCAAAATAGCGCTATATGACAGATGTAGCGCTTTTATTTCTAAATATTAACAAACTTGCTTACCATGTCATCAACTATCTTCTATTCTGACTCTCAAATCCGTGTAAGTGAGTTTGTTTTGTCGTTTAAAACCCTTTATAAATTATCTTGATCTGTAACGTGAGATGGGCACCGCAGTTCAGAGATTCCTGTCTGTTGGATTTGTTACGTTACAGCGCGTGAATTCTTCAGTTTCTCCCGAAATACATGAAAGTAAGTGGCCGGTGAACTGGGAGAAGAATAGAGTAAACTTTATAGTTACTTACACTGTGTATCTGATATGAATAAAACACGTCGCCAAATATATTTGAATGGATTGTTATTGCTGCTTCCATAGACACCATTGTGTATTTTACAAACTATAAATGTATTGTTTTGCTATAAATCATATCTATTTAAATGTCTGAAACCTAAAATAAACATGTGGTTAAAAACACTGAATAGTTGTGATATGACAACCGCTGAGCGAGTCCGTCTTTGAGTGTACACTAATTTTTCCCCGGCCTTAATTTGAGACCGGCCTTTATTTGTCCGCGTTGACCACGATCCCCGGCCACTATCAGAGGCCCGGCGTTTATTTGAATACCGGTCTTTATTTGAGGAATTACGGTATTCTGTCCCCTTACACTAACCCTACCCCTAAACCTACCCATCACACACACACACACACACACACACACACACACACACACACACACACACACACACACACACACACACACACACACACACACACACACACACACACACACACACAGCTTCTTCAAGGTTGGATTTGGTCTGGCTCTAACTATAAACAGGAGAGTCCTCTCAAAACATCCAGATAACACGTTCTTTCTCTCAATGAGAGGACGCTTTAATCTAACACAGTAAAGTAAATGGGTGTTTGAATTGAGACTGATCTTTTAGCGATTAATCGTGCATAACACATCACAATCACATCACACTTCACATACGAAAGCGAAACTGAATTTCCGTGTGTCGTTCCCGCAGCGGATGTGAACTTCGCCAGTGAGCTGAGTGACCTGAGGCATCGACACGGTTTCCAGGTGATCCTGGTGCACAAGAGCCAGGCCTCGCCCGCGCTCCTGCAACACGCACACCTGCGCGTCGCCTTCGAGGAGTTCGTCTCGGACCTCCCACCCGGCATGATCGTCAAAGCACAGGTCAGCCTCACTCCCTTTATATTCCTGACCAGTGCTGGGGAAACTCATTACAAGTAACTTGAGTTACGTAATCAGATTACTTTTTCAAGTAACTAGTAAAGTAACGCATTACTTTTTCAATTTACAACAAATTATCGAAGTTACTTTTTCAAATAGTAGCGCTAGTTACGGTTTCACATTTATTGACTGACAGCTCTCCTGTCCCCATGTTGAGAGAAATAAAGTGTGTGTGAACATGATGGTTATTTTAGTTCTAGGCTAAATGCATTTGCTCATCTCACTGCCACGAAAACATTCAGTATTCCTCAAAATGAATCAAAACAGTAAAATGCAATCTCAGAATTTTACGCAAAACTTTTATAATTAACTGTTAAATTACGCAAATATACTTTATGTATTTAATCTCACTTTATTAACCAATCTCTTTGCTGCTCACCTCCAATGATCTAATTCAACCATACTAATAAGCAAAAGTTACTTTAGATTAGATTTAGAAATAGTGTTGAACTTCCTTCTCCTGAATCCTATAGTTCTTTAATCCAGAATAACAGCAGCTGAGAGGTTTGCAACTATGAGTAAATCTGCATTTTCTTCAGCCTGAGGCTTATTCATTTCACTTTTGCTGTGAAAGCGCCTTAACATTTTCCAAAAATATATATATTTTTTTGCTTGTTATAAAATAAAACAAGGAAGCTCAGCCGAGGTGAGAAATTAATGCAAAAGTAATGTAACGCATTACTTTTCATAAAAAGTAACTAAGTAATGCAATTACCGTATTTTCCGGACAATAAGTCGCTCCGGAGTATAAGTCGCATCAGCCCAAAAATGCGTCATGACAAGGAAAAAAACATATATAAGTCGCACTGGACTATAAGTCGCATTTATTTAGAAATTTATTTAACAAAATCCAAGACCAAGAAAAAGTTATTTAAACAGACTTTAATTCATTAAAACAGAAGGCATTTAAGTTATTCTGCTACACACAATAGCACAAAGAACAACAGGCTGAATATGTGTCCGGTATGTTGTTAACGTAACACATCAACAGTTAGCTACACAATAGCATAAAGAACATACCTGAGAGGCTGAATAGGATAAAATAAAATAAAATAACATAGCGAGTCCAACAGTTATCGGTAAAGCAATTTCACCAAGCTCCCGCAATCTTATTCCACATCACTGAACCCGTTGAATTCTTCATCCTCCGTGTCGCTTCTGAACAACTCCGCTATTTCCGGAGGAAGATGAAAACTAGCTGTAGTCTAGAGCGCATAGAGCGCTCTCTCGTGGCTGTAGACGGTAATGTCACCCCCAATTTCAGCAAATGATGCATTCACGTCATACCACAAACACATCAAAAACTCGCAAATAATAATCTGGGGCCGTCAGCGATCCTGTGACGAGTAAATCTTGGTAATTTTGATATATAAGTCGCACCTGACTATAAGTCGCAGGACCAGCCAAGGTATGAAAAAAACTGCGACTTATAGTCCGGAAAATACGGTAGTTACTTTTAAAAAAATGCAATATTGTAATGCATTACTTTTAAAAGTAACTTTCCCCAACACTGTTCCTGACTGCATTTGGTTCTGCATTTTGAGCTCTGATCTGGCAGAAAACAGCTGGTGTTTCTGTTTGAAGACCGATGCTGCTGTTGTAATCATGTGATCATAAACCTGTGTGACTCCATGCTCTGAGATTCATAATGAGATCCCGTTATTTAAAGCTCCCAGCGGCAACTCCATCCTCCTCTCAGATCTCCCAGAGTGCTGTTTGTGTCTCTGCTCCTCAGCCCAGTTTCAACCTTCTGTTTGTGCACCACCTTCCCACACACCGCGACACCAAAGCTGTGGCGAACCGGCTCCAGCGCCTCTCCAATAACTGTGGAGGGAAGGTGTTGGGAGTCTCCGGCGGCTGCGCCGTGCTCCGGTTCGCTAGTGCCAGCGCGGCCGAACGCGCGCGCAAGCGCATGGAGAATGAAGACGTCCTGGGCCAGCGCATCGTGGTGTCGTTCTCACCCGACGGCCCGGAGGAGGAAGAGGAGCGCCGACTCTTCCTCCCCGTGGAGAAGCAACGCTCGCCCCGTCGCCGGGCGTCTCGGTCGAGAAGCCACGCCCCCGAGCGCCCCTATAGCCCCAGGAAAGCAGGCCACGCCTCCTCGTGCAGCCCTGTGACGAAGCCCCGCCCCCAGGTCAGCTGTGTTCCCGCCTCTGCCCCGCCTCCTCCTCATCATCCTCCAATCGCACGCTTCCTCTCATTCTCATTGTGCCTGTACCTCCGCTTGACCTGCTTGCTCCTCCCATCATCATACACACACTCTCACACACTCACACTAACTCACACTCCCTCTCACTCGTTCACACACATACAAAGAGACACTCACTCACACAAATGCTCTCACGCACACAAATGCTCTCACGCACACAAATGCTCTCACGCACACAAATGCTCTCACGCACACTCACTGACACACTTTGTCTCTCACACACACTTTCTCTCATACACATGCGCTCATGCACATTCACTCGTTCACACAGACACTCACTCGCTCACTCACACTCTCTCTCTCGCGCACTCAGACATACACACACACCAACACTCACGCGCTCTCTAGCACACACTCTAGCACACATCAACACACACGCACTCTCGCACACACTCGCGCGCACACACCAACACACACGCGCTCTCGCACTCGTACACGCGCACTCGCACAGACACTCACCTACACAAATACTTCCTCGCACACAGACACACAACCTCTCACACGCATGCGCTCACGCACTCTCGCGTACACTCACTCACAGCCACACCCCTGAGGAAAGCAGGCCACGCCTCCTCGTTCCAGCCCTGTGATGAAGCCCCGCCCCCAGGTCAGCTGTGTTCCCGCCTCCTCCCATCATCCTCCAATCGCACGCTTCCCCTCATTCTCAATGTGCTGTGCTGCGCTTGACCTGCTTGTGCTGCTCGTGTGCCGCTGCTCTGTGACGCCGGGATGCTTTACGTGAGACTCCATCTTCCTCTTTCCTCGTCTGTCCTCCCCGTCACTTTCCTGTCTTCCGCCTCATTGGGAATCGGCTGTGTGTTCGTATGTTGTGAAGTTAGTGCTGTGTGTGTGTTTGCTGCAGATTGTGTGTGGAGCAACCCGACCTGTGAGCGCCTCGCCTCAGAGTCACACGAACACACAGCTCCTGCCGGCAGCCGGAAAACCTGCAGAGCAGCAGCGCAGCCGAAGGTACCACACGCACACACACACTCTCGCTCACTCACTCACTCACTCACTCTCACACACACACAGACACTCTCGCACTCACACACACTCGCACTCACACACGCTCTCTTGTGCACACACTGACACACACACTTGTGCACACACTCGCACTCTCGCACACTCACATCACTAGTGTTCATCATGTGATTTGTGAAAGTTTTTTTATTTGCAGTGTTTGATTTAGACAAATCATTGATGTTTTTAAAGGGATAGTTCACCAAAAATGAAAATTGTCATTCCAAACCCATAAGACTTTCGTTTATTGTCGAAACAAATTAAATCTATTCTTAACTAAATCTGAGAAGTTTCTGTCCCTCTATTGAAGAAAGAATATCTTCGATATCTCTGCGCCCAAGTAGCAGCGCTTCGCCTGTGCTTCACCCCAGTATAGTCCCAAGTCAATCTCTGCCTAGGAAATCGCCTAGTCTTAATCTGCATTGCTATTTGTACTCGTTGTGAATACGCAGCCACAAGTAATTCTTTTTTTTTTTATCACTTTTACTCACGACATGCTATCCGGCAACAAAGGATTCCATTCATTATGCTAAGCTAGCGGCGGCGCTGCCAAACTAAGACAATGCATGCACTGAGACAAAAATGCGTTTGCCCTCCTATCTAAATGTAGGGGAGACGGTGAATAACCCCTATTTCAAAAAAAACGGTGGTGTGTTCCTTTAAGGATTAGGTTTAATTGATTATTTTATTCACGTATAAACATTGAACAGTGAATGTAAACAAGCTCAACCGTACTTGATTGCGAAACCTCATTGGTTCTCATGCTTGAGCTTCTGTTTGCCATATTTGAATGCTGTAAACATTGTTCATATGTGAATTAAAGGATCAATCTGTTCATCATATAAAGCAAATGTGTCTCTTCAGAAGACTTGGATTAAAACTCTTATTTTACCAACTATGAACTTTTTGAAGCATCAGTTTTGGGTGAACAGACTTACAATGGAGGCACGGAAATCCCCTCGGATTTCTTTCAAATATGTTCTATTGTGTTTTGTTCTTATGAGTTTTGAGTGCTATGATATTTGATTGTGTGTGTGTGTGTGTGAAGGCGAGACTCTCCCGGGCAGCCGTTTCAGGTCAGCACTCCTTCAGCATTCAGCAAACTAAGTTTACAGCGGAGCTTCAGTCCCATGATGCTCTCTCAGAGTTCGTGGTCGTCACGGTAAGCGAACTGCATGATTATCAAAGGCTTCATAAAACACTCTTGCGTTCTCGTCACGTGTGTGTGTGTGTGTGTGTGTGTGTGTGTGCGTTGGTCTCCGGTCTCTTCAGGAGTGTGTCCCCCTGCCTGTCGAACCGCTCGTCTCCGCTGAGCGCACCGTCCCCTGACGGCCAATCAGAGCCCTTCTCTGACGGAGCCGACGTTCAGGTCACGAACCTCGACTACAGAATGTCACGCAAGGACCTCCAGCAAATCCTGCGAGATGCTTTTGCTAAACACGGCAGAGTGAGTCGCATCTCCCAGACATTTAAACCAGAGCGTGTTGAAAGTGTGCTTCATTATTGTGTGTGTGATGGGTAGGTTTAGGGGTAGTGTGTGTGTGTGTGTGTGTGTGTGTGTGTGTGTCTGTGTGATGGGTAGGTTTAGGGGTCGGGTTAGTGTGTGTGTGTCTGTGTGATGGGTAGGTTTAGGGGTTGTGTGTGTGTGATGGTAGGTTTAGGGGTGTCGTGTGATGGGCAGGTTTAGGGGTCGGGTTAGTGTGTGTGTCTGTGTGATGGGTCGGTTTAGGGGTTGTGTGTGTGTGATGGGTAGGTTTAGGGGTCGGGTTAGTGTGTGTGTCTGTGTGATGGGTCGGTTTAGGGGTTGTGTGTGATTGGTAGGTTTAGGGGTCGGGTTAGTGAGTGTGTGTGATTGGTAGGTTTAGGGGTCGGGTTAGTTAGTGAGTGTGTGTGTGTGTGTGTGTGTTTGTGATTGGTAGGTTTAGGGGTCGGGTTAGTGTGTGTGTGTCTGTGTGATGGGTAGGTTTAGGGGTTGTGTGTGTGATGGTAGGTTTAGGGGTGTCGTGTGATGGGCAGGTTTAGGGGTTGTGTGTGTGGTGGGCAGGTTTAGGGGTCGGGTTAGTGTGTGTGTGTCTGTTGGATGGGTCGGTTTAGGGGTTGTGTGTGTGGTGGGCAGGTTTAGGGGTCGGGTTAGTGTGTGTGTGTCTGTTGGATGGGTCGGTTTAGTGGTCGGGTTAGTGTGTGTGTGTCTGTGTGATGGGCAGGTTTAGGGGTCGGGTTAGTGTGTGTGTGTCTGTGTGATGGGTCGGTTTAGGGGTCGGGTTAGTGTGTGTGTGTCTGTGTGATGGGTCGGGTTAGTGTGTGTGTGTCTGTGTGATGGGCAGGTTTAGGGGTCGGGTTAGTGTGTGTGTGTCTGTGTGATGGGCAGGTTTAGGGGTCGGGTTAGTGTGTGTGTGTGTCTGTGTGATGGGTCGGGTTAGTGTGTGTGTGTCTGTGTGATGGGCAGGTTTAGGGGTCGGGTTAGTGTGTGTGTGTCTGTGTGATGGGTCGGGTTAGTGTGTGTGTGTCTGTGTGATGGGCAGGTTTAGGGGTCGGGTTAGTGAGTGTGTGTGATGGGTAGGTTTAGGGGTCGGGTTAGTGTGTGTGTGTCTGTGTGATGGTCGGTTTAGGGGTTGTGTGTGTGATGGGTCGGTTTAGGGGTTGTGTGTGTGATGGTAGGTTTAGGGGTGTCGTGTGATGGGCAGGTTTAGGGGTCGGGTTAGTGTGTGTGTCTGTGTGATGGGTCGGGTTAGTGTGTGTGTGTCTGTGTGATGGGCAGGTTTAGGGGTCGGGTTAGTGTGTGTGTGTGTCTGTGTGATGGGTCGGTTTAGGGGTTGTGTGTGTGATGGGTAGGTTTAGGGGTTGTGTGTGTGATGGTAGGTTTAGGGGTGTCGTGTGATGGGCAGGTTTAGGGGTCGGGTTAGTGTGTGTGTGTCTGTGTGATGGGTCGGGTTAGTGTGTGTGTGTCTGTGTGATGGGCAGGTTTAGGGGTCGGGTTAGTGTGTGTGTGTCTGTGTGATGGGTCGGTTTAGGGGTTGTGTGTGTGATGGGTAGGTTTAGGGTTCAGGTTAGTGTGTGTGTGTGTGTGATGGGTAGGTTCGGGTTAGTGTGTGTGTGTGTTTGTGACGGGCAGGTTTAGGGGTCGGGTTAGTGTGTGTGTGTCTGTGTGATGGGTAGGTTTAGGGGTTGTGTGTGTGATGGTAGGTTTAGGGGTGTCGTGTGATGGGCAGGTTTAGGGGTCGGGTTAGTGTGTGTGTGTCTGTGTGATGGGTCGGTTTAGGGGTTGTGTGTGTGATGGGTAGGTTTAGGGTTCAGGTTAGTGTGTGTGATGGGTAGGTTCGGGTTAGTGTGTGTGTGTGTGATGGGTAGGTTTAGGGGTGTCGTGTGATGGGCAGGTTTAGGGTCGGGTTAGTGTGTGTGTGTGATGGGTCGGGTTAGTGAGTGTGTGTGTGATTGGTAGGTTTAGGGGTCGGGTTAGTGAGTGTGTGTGATGGGTAGGTTTAGGGGTCGGGTTAGTGTGTGTGTGTGTGTCTGTGATGGGTCGGTTTAGGGGTTGTGTGTGATTGGTAGGTTTCGGGGTCGGGTTAGTGTGTGTGTGTGTGTGATGGGTCGGGTTAGTGAGTGTGTGTGTGATTGGTAGGTTTAGGGGTCGGGTTAGTGTGTGTGTTGGGTAGGTTTAGGGGTCGGGTTAGTGTGTGTGTGTGTGTGTGTGTGTGATGGGTCGGGTTAGTGAGTGTGTGTGATTGGTAGGTTTAGGGGTCGGGTTAGTGAGTGTGTGTGATTGGTAGGTTTAGGGATCGGGTTAGTGTGTGTGTGTCTGTGTGATGGGTCGGTTTAGGGTTCAGGTTAGTGGGTGTGTGTGTGATGGGTAGGTTCGGGTTAGTGTGTGTGTGTGATGGGTAGGGTTTGTGTGTGTGTGTGTCTGTGTGATGGGTAGGTTTAGGGGTGTCGTGTGATGGGCAGGTTTAGGGGTCGGGTTAGTGTGTGTGTGTGAGATGGGTCGGGTTAGTGAGTGTGTGTGATTGGTAGGTTTAGGGGTCGGGTTAGTGAGTGTGTGTGATGGGTAGGTTTAGGGGTCGGGTTAGTGTGTGTGTGTCTGTGTCTGTGATGGGTCGGTTTAGGGGTTGTGTGTGATTGGTAGGTTTCGGGTTAGTGAGTGTGTGTGTGTCTATGTGATGGGTCGGTTTAGGGGTTGTGTGTGTGATTGGTAGGTTTAGGGGTCGGGTTAGTGTGTGTGTGTCTGTGTGATGGGTCGGTTTAGGGGTTGTGTGTGATGGGTAGGTTTAGGGGTCGGGTTAGTGAGTGTGTGTGTGTCTGTGTGATGGGCAGGTTTAGGGGTCGGGTTAGTGTGTGTGTGTGTGTGTGTGTTTGTGTGTGATGGGTCGGGTTAGTGAGTGTGTGTGTGATTGGTAGGTTTAGGGGTCGGGTTAGTGAGTGTGTGTGATGGGTAGGTTTAGGGGTCGGGTTAGTGTGTGTGTCTGTGATGGGTCGGTTTAGGGGTTGTGTGTGATTGGTAGGTTTCGGGTTAGTGAGTGTGTGTGTGTCTATGTGATGGGTCGGTTTAGGGGTTGTGTGTGTGATTGGTAGGTTTAGGGGTCGGGTTAGTGAGTGTGTGTGTCTGTGTGATGGGTCGGTTTAGGGGATGTGTGTTATGTGATGGGTAGGTTTAGGGGTCGGGTTAGAGAGTGTGTGTCTATGTGATGGGTCGGTTTAGGGGTTGTGTGTGATGGTAGGTTTAGGGGTCGGGTTAGTGAGTGTGTGTGTGTGTGATGGGCAGGTTTAGGGGTCGGGTTAGTGTGTGTGTGTCTGTGTGATGGGTCGGTTTAGGGGTTGTGTGTGATTGGTAGGTTTAGGGGTCGGGTTAGTGAGTGTGTGTGTGTGTGTGATGGGCAGGTTTAGGGGTCGGGTTAGTGTGTGTGTGTGATGGGTCGGTTTAGGGGTCGGGTGAGTGTGTGTGTGATTGATAGGTTTAGGGGTCGGGTTAGTGAGTGTGTGTGATGGGTCGGTTTAGGGGTCGGGTTAGTCTGTGTCTGTGTGATGGGTTGGTTTAGGGGTTGTGTGTGTGATGGGTAGGTTTGGGTTAGTGTGTGTGTGTCTGTGTGATGGGTCGGTTTAGGGGTTGTGTGTGTGTCTGTGTGATGGGTCGGTTTAGGGGTTGTGTGTGTGTGTGTGTCTGTGTGATGGGTCGGTTTAGGGGTTGTGTGTGTGATTGGTAGGTTTAGGGGTCGGGTTAGTGAGTGTGTGTGATGGGTCGGTTTAGGGGTCGGGTTAGTGTGTGTGTGTGTCTGTGATGGGTCGGTTTAGGGGTTGTGTGTGTGATTGGTAGGTTTAGGGTTCGGGTTAGTGAGTGTGTGTGTTGGGTAGGTTTAGGGGTCGGGTTAGTGAGTGTGTGTGATGGGTAGGTTTAGGGGTCGGGTTACTGAGTGTGTGTGATGGGTAGGTTTAGGGGTCGGGTTAGTGAGTGTGTGTGATGGGTAGGTTTAGGGGTCGGGTTAGTGTGTGTGTCTGTGTGATGGGTCGGTTTAGGGGTTGTGTGTGTGATGGGTAGGTTTAGGGTTCGGGTTAGTGTGTGTGTGTGATGGGTCGGTTTAGGGGTTGTGTGTGTGATGGGTAGGTTTAGGGTTCGGGTTAGTGTGTGTGTGTGTGATGGGTCGGTTTAGGGGTTGTGTGTGTGATTGGTAGGTTTAGGGGTCGGGTTAGTGTGTGTGTCTGTGTGATGGGTCGGTTTAGGGGTTGTGTGTGTGATGGGTAGGTTTAGGGTTTGGGTTAGTGTGTGTGTGTGATGGGTCGGTTTAGGGGTTGTGTGTGTGATGGGTAGGTTTAGGGTTCGGGTTAGTGTGTGTGTGTGATGGGTCGGTTTAGGGGTTGTGTGTGTGATTGGTAGGTTTAGGGTTCGGGTTAGTGAGTGTGTGTGATTGGTAGGTTTAGGGGTCGGGTTAGTGAGTGTGTGTGATGGGTAGGTTTAGGGGTCGGGTTAGTGAGTGTGTGTGATGGGTAGGTTTAGGGGTCGGGTTAGTGAGTGTGTGTGTCTGTGATGGGTCGGTTTAGGGGTTGTGTGTGTGTCTGTGTGATGGGTAGGTTTAGGGTTCGGGTTAGTGAGTGTCTGTGATGGGTCGGTTTAGGGGTCGGGTTAGTGAGTGTGTGTGATGGGTAGGTTTAGGGGTCGTGTTAGTGAGTGTGTGTGATGGGTAGGTTTAGGGGTCGGGTTAGTGAGTGTGTGTGTCTGTGATGGGTCGGTTTAGGGGTTGTGTGTGTGTCTGTGTGATGGGTAGGTTTAGGGTTCGGGTTAGTGAGTGTCTGTGATGGGTCGGTTTAGGGGTCGGGTTAGTGAGTGTGTGTGATGGGTAGGTTTAGGGGTCGGGTTAGTGTAGGGGAATAGAATATACAGTTTGTACTGTATAAAAACCAATACGCCTATGGAATTTCCTCACAAGTACAGCAAACCTGTGTGTGTGTGTGTGTGTGTAGGTGAAGAGCGTTGATCTGAGTCCTCACACTGACTATCAGCTGAAGGCGCGGGTTCACATGAGCTCCCTCCAGCAGGCCATCGGTGCCGTCTCTCTCCTGCATCGCTATAAGATCGGCAGCAAGAGGATTCATGTGTCGCTCGTCACTGGAGCCAGTAACAAATCTCTCGCCTGCCTCAGGTACGCATGTGATGTATCAAACTTTCATATCACAATAATCGCTGAAGCTTTTATCATGGTATATGGTATTATCACTGCATTGAATTTAAAGTGTTGTCCTCCTAGCAGGTTTAAATGCTTTTGTCCATGTTCATCTGTGTTTAGTGTGTAATGTTGCTGTTTGAGCATGAAAAAGCTCCAGTTATTCTCTATATCAGTGCCAGTGTTTCTGAACTCCTGAAATATTGTAGTCTTGAGTTTCTTCTGGGAACGAACATGTCACAATATTCCTCATTTATATAATTTAAATAAATAAATATATGCAGAATAAGGGGGAGGGAGGGGGGGGGGGGGGGGAGGGGAGGGGGGAGGGGGGAGGTGGGCTGGGGCTGGTTGAGTTAGTTAGTAGTGTGTTGAAACTGGCGCTTCTGGTAAGAGCGGGACATTTCCCAAACACATTTGAAGCGCTTGACCAATCACAACACACTGCTCCAGCCGACCAATCAGAGCACAGTGTGCTTTTCAGAAGGAGGGGCTTCATAGAGACAGGAACTAAACCGAGCGTTACTGACAGACTGGGAAGAGAGGAGCCGCAACAATGGAGAATATGAGAAAAATAATCAACATTCAAGCAGGAAAACCTCTTCTAGTAGAGCTCTAAAACAAAAAGAATATAAAGTAAACAGACAATAAAGAGTCAAAACATTTTCAGTCAATATCTAGGGCATGTTTTAGTCCAGAATATGTAAAAATGTAAACAAAAATATGGTGCTGTGATGAAGCAAATAGACAGATCTGAATGGTGTGAAACATTTAATGTTCAGAAACAGGAAGTAGTGCCGTCTGCTTTGTTTACTGGGTAACAGATGCATTTCTGCTGTTACGTTATCGCCATCTGCTGTCAGAGAGTGATTGTGCATTTTCATTCAGTCTCTTTGACGCAGTGTTGGACATTTTATCTGGTTAATGGAAAAATATTTTATAAATGCATTTTAAAATAAAATTCACTTTTTTTAAGTGCAATTTCATGCATGTTCATATATCATGATGATGAACCGTATTACGGTGTATCTGCTCATGTCTAGCCTCAGTGATGTTTGTTTCTCAGCTCTGAGATCATCAGTATCCTCCAGGACGCACCAGCAAACTGCCTGCATCTCTACAAGTTCACCGAGACCTACGAGAGGAAGTGAGGGACATTCAATTCACATTTATTTGTATTGCACTTTTCACAATACACAATCACATCGTTTCAAAGCAGCTTTACAGAAAGTGCATGAGTCCACATTACAATTCAGAGAGATCTGTTATCAGAGGAAACTGTCTAAAGCCGGGGACACGCTTAACGACTGTAAGGCCGATTATGAATGTAATTTGATACTTACGACTGATTATGCTGAGTCGCTTTCAGGTCGGTGTTCACAGTCTGTGTTTAAAATCTGCTGCAGTCGATGGAAACGGTCTGTAAGTGTGTTCAGTTAGGTCTTAGAATGTTTCAGCTAGTCGTTGAGTGTGTCCCCGCCTTTAGTTATGCATTTCAGAAAAGTACACATACAAAATATCAGTTAGATATCATTGTAATAATTTAAGGCAGAAACAATGAGCTCATTGAAGTAATGAATACTTGTTTTTTAACAAATTATGAGTGTGTGTGACTGGTATGTTGACGGCGTGTCTGTCCTGCAGGTTTGGTCATAAGCTGGTGGTGAGTGACTTGTACCGCTTGCCGGAGCTGGTGTGTGTGCGTGAGCAGGGCGGCGGGCGGCTCGTGTGTTTGCTGTCCAGCACTCAGGCCCGGCAGAGTCCGCTAGGATCCGCACACTCTCACGACAGCTCCAACACGGCCAGCCCGGTTCTGTTCGAGGAGCTGGAGTACCACGAGCCCGTGTGCAGACGCCACTGCACTCAGCAGGACTTCAGGTGAACCGGGACACACACACACACACACACACACGCACACACACACACACACACACGTGTGTCCAGGGGGGGGGGACACACACACGTGTGCAGGGCTCCTACAGAGGCAAACATAAGAAGATATTGATCGGTTTAAGTCTAAATGTAAAACATTTGTTTATGCAAAATATAAAACATAAACATATTTCTGTAATATCTTATGCGTTTTATAGATTTCTTGTTTTTCTTTATTTTTAGTAGGGCTGGGTAAAAAATATCGATTTCTCTATATTTTTACGAACCGATATCGATTCTTAAATCTCAAGAATCGATTAGTCATCCTGTTTTCATTTGATGAATGAATGGAACATTGTAGCATGCGTCCCATCCAATAAATCGCAATAATCTTTGTGCTTTGTTACTATTGATACTAAATAAAGTCTCAAATTACGTCCATTTTCTTACGAAATTCAAAAACATAAATACCGTTTTGGCGCTGTGGCGTGAGATCGCTCTGGCTCAGCTCAGCTCAAGAGAAGCAGCATCACACATGATCTCCTCTTCTGCCTTAATAATACCAGTTACAGCGCGAAATACACATGAAGGAACGTCTGAAAGTGTGTTTAAAGATAGAGTACAACTTATCGAAATCCGTATCATGTCTCATGGAATCGCTCAATCAGTGTTTCAACCGTGGAAAGACGTCAGTAAAACAACTTGTAAACAATGTAACGTCACATTTACCTCAGAAAAACCATGTGACCATAAACTCGTTAGTCTCGTTAAAATTAACTCTAAAGAGGAGCATTTTGCTAAATATATGCACCATATTACATATTCATTATAATTTTTAATGTTCTTTGATATTTAATGCATGTTTGAATAAATCTGGCAAGTTTTTATGACAGCCACCATTTAAATGTTTATATTTCATATAACTTTATTATTATAAAAATAAATAAAAGTGTAATTTAAGTGTTTGTATAGCTACAAATCAGTTAATTTTTACCTTCAACATTATAGTAGGCTAATGAAGCCTATAGGCTACAACTGACTCCCATAGTTTACAGCATTTGTTAAGAGATTTGTTTTCCTTGAGAAAATTTGCCATGTATTATACCTGATATCCAAAATAATCAATATTGAATCGAATCGAATTGTGAAATTTGTGTCAATACCCAGCCCTAATTTTTAGTTATTTTATACCTTGCTTAATCCTTATAAATTTTATTTTTATTCCTGTATTTTAATGGGTCTTTTTTATTTTATCTATCGTTTCTTTTTTGCCTGTAAAGCACTTTGAACTTCATTGATTCGTTTGGAGAAGTGTTATATAAATAAAGCTTGCTTCTAATATCAACCTAATTATCAGGGTTCTTAAAAGGTGCTAAAAGTACTTGAGTTTGACTTTGAAATTTAAGTCCTGAAAAACCCTTGAACAGCCATATTTATGAAAAGGAACTTTAATTTCACAAATATATTGTCTTTCAATCATTTAAGTGATTTTTCGTGTTTAATTTTATTGATAAAACAATCTTTTCACGCAAAATGAAGCAGCAGCCCGTCTGATATAGATATAGAGCCATTACTCATGACTATGAGTGTGATATTGCTCATAAATATCCAAGTATATGATGCAGCTTTAATTTATCAGGTCAATCATATTTTGAGAAAAAAAATCAGTTAAAGTTTATCTGTAGCCACGTTTCCATTACCCTTCAAATTGCGCAAATTGAAAACACGCACAATGGAAACACGTCAATTTCGCAAAAACTCCCGTTTATCGCAAAAAAGGTTTTTACGCTCGCAAGAGGTTTCTCAGGCAATTCGAAAAAGAAATATTTCGCAAAACTGCAATGGAAACAGTTTTTGATCATTTACAGTTACCTGACTTACATGATGCGGTATGGCAAGCCGTTTTAACTTTTATTCATTTCCAGGATATGAATTGTTGATATCAACAATTTAATTTTCACTAGTTAAAATTATAATTATTGATATCAGGAATAATATTTCTACTAGTAACAATGGCAATTTTTGATATCAGGAATTACATTTTCACTAGAAACAATGCTAATTCTTGACATCAACATTTACATTTTCACTAGTTAAAATGATAATTCTTGATATCAACAATTGAATTGCAACTAGTAAAAACTATAATTCTTGATATCTGTAATTGTATTTTCACTAGTGAAATGTCACCATAGGCTGCCATCCAAAATCAATTATTGATATCAAGAATTTATTTCTTACTAGTTGAAATTCCAATTTCACATTTCAGAAATACAATTCTTACTAGTAAAAACCTTTATTTTTGATATCAAGAATTAAATTGTCACTAGTTGAAATGTCTATTCTTGATATCAACAATTGAATTGCTACTAGTAACAATGTTCATTTTTGATATCAATAATTCAATTTTCACTAGTGACAATGTTAATTTCTGATATCATGAATGTGATTGTTACTAGTAAGAAAGCCATTTTAGATATCTGAAATAATATTGATATCAGAAATACATTTTCAGATATCAAAAATGAAAAATTTTACTAGTCGCAATTCAGTTGTTGATATCAAGAATAGACATTTAGACTAGTGATAATTTAATTATTGATATCAGGAATTTGCATTTTTACTAGTAACAATGTAATTATTGATATCAAAAATTATATTTCTACTAGTAAGAAATCAATTCTTGATATCAACAATTGATTTTGAATGGCAGTCTATGGTGAGATTTCACTAGTGAAAATACAATTGTTGATATCAAGAATTACATTTTTGATATCAACAATTCATATCCTGGAAAGGAATAAAAGTTAAAACGGCTTGCCATAATGCGGTGTGTTTGGACAGAATACGAGACAGAGTTCTTTATTAAAGTCATAAAAGAAAAGAATTACAGGAATACTGGATTCTAAACCTCAAAGAAACGCCACAGTCTCGACCTCGAGCAGAAATGAGGAGAAACAGAGAAACTCCTCATATGTGCCGCTCACAGTATAAGAGTCTTTCCTTGCTATTAATGCTTGGAACACACACACACACACACGTCTCCTTCCATTAATAATAATAATAATAATGTCTAGTGTGGTGGCTCTGATATATATATATAAACCTAACAACATCCGTCGCCATGATGTTTGGAATGACTGATTGCGAGAGGAAAAAAGGATGTTTTAGGCGCATAACATCGGTTAATGGAAACGCCGTCATTTTGCAATAGTTTTTAGCGATATTTAGAAAAAATCACAAAAGTTTTGCGCCAATCTGTAATGGAAACGCGCCTAGTGTTAAAGTTTCCACAGTCATTGCATCTGCTGCACTTTATTTGTACCATTTTGTTTTTATTGGTTTATTTTTTATCTATTTACCTTTTTCAGAATTTGAAGGTAATAAAGATATTGTTTGATTAGTGAGATCTCTGATTGAAGTCCTTAAACCAAAAAGTAGTGCTTAAAGTCCATGAAAGTCCTGGAATTTCCTTTGACAGTGTCTGTACGATCACTGCGTGTGCTCGCGCGAGTCTTCATCTGGGTTTAGCCGTGACGAACTCGACTGTTTTTCCTCTGGTTTCAGTGAATCTGACTTCGATCCGGATTCGTACATGATCCCGTTTGTTCTGGTGTCCCTGAAAGTCCTGGCTGCTCATGTCCACGGGTTACTGCAGAGTCACGAGGGCACGGTGCCTCTGCTCAGGTGACACACACACACACACACTTCTGCTGTTATCTCGTTGGTCTGGTGTGTGTCTGTTGCATGTGTGACTGTTTCCTGTCTGCACACAGTTTCCCAGAATGCTACGCTGCAGAGTTCGGTGCGTTGAGTGTTGCAGAGGAGGGGGGGCTGGAGGGAAGCGTCCCGCTGGAGCATCTCATCACCTGCATCCCTGGAGTCACCATAGTAACGGCACAGAACGGCTTCAAAATCATCAAGTGGATTCACAACAAACCCCCACCGCACAATGCAGGTGAGGGGGTGTGTGTGTGTGAGGGTGTGTGTGTGTGTGTGAGGGTGTAGCCCCTTTCACACAGAGATTCCGGAAAATACACGGATAAAGCGACCCGGGATTTGACCCGGGTTCGTTTGATTTAGCTTCATTCACACTGCCAGTGATTTGCCGGAATCAGAGAGCGCGTTCACACACAACCCGTGTATGTTCAGGAAAGACACGTGACATCGATGTGACATGTAATGTCTCAGCAACGTGTATAGTTTGCTTATGAGCTGCGATTTCTCTCTGGGGAAACCACGATTGTGCATTTTTTTTCTCTGATTCGATCATAAACTAGCGCATTACGTACCGTTTCACTAGCCTGCTTTCACTTCACTTCAGCGTCATCATTACGACACGGCATTGGTTACGGCTTTTGTTCACACAGCGCGCGTTCCGGGTCTGAACACGGCAATGTTACTAGGTCCCCAACCCGGCATCGATCCCGGCATCAGTCCGGGTCGTGTTTGCGTTCACACAGAAGGCACTCTGGCAATTTGCCGGGTTCAAAGCGCTGTGTGAAAGGGGCTTGTGTGTGTGTGTGTGAGGGTGTGTGTGTGTGTGTGAGGGGGTGTGTGTGTGTGTGAGGGGGTGTGTGTGTGTGAGGGGGTGTGTGTGTGTGAGGGGGTGAGGGTGTGTGTGTGGGGGTGTGTGTGTGTGTGTGGGGGTGTGTGTGTGAGGGTGTGTGTGTGAGGGTGTGTGTGTGAGGGTGTGTGTGAGGGTGTGTGTGAGGGTGTGTGTGTGAGGGTGTGTGTGTGAGGGTGTGTGTGTGTGTGAGGGTGTGTGTGTGTGTGAGGGTGTGAGGGTGTGTGTGAGGGTGTGTGTGTGTGTGAGGGTGTGTGTGTGTGAGGGTGTGAGGGTGTGTGTGAGGGTGTGAGGGTGTGTGTGAGGGTGTGAGGGTGTGTGTGTGTGAGGGTGTGTGTGTGTGAGGGGGGGTGTGTGTGTGTGTGAGGGGGGGTGTGTGTGTGTGTGAGGGGGGGGGGGGGGGGTGTGTGTGTGTGAGGGGGGGTGTGAGGGGGGGTGAGGGTGTGTGTGTGAGGGGGATGGGGGTGTGGGGGGTGTGTGTGAGGGGTGTGGGGGTGTGTGTGAGGGGGTGTGTGTGAGGCGGTGTGTGTGGGGGGGGTGTGTGAGAGGGTGTGTGTGTGGGGGGGTGTGTGTGCTCTTGTTTTTATTACATTGTGAGGACCAAATGTCCCCACAAGAATAGTAAAACGTGAAATCACCGACAATGTGAGGACTAGCCAATGGTCCCCACAAGGGAAATTGATTGATGAACATACTTAATGATGTTGTTTAGAAAATGTAAAAAAGCAGAAAGTTTTCTGTGATGGGTAGGTTTAGGGGTAGGGTTAGTGTGTGTGTGTGTGTGTGGGGGAGTGTGTGTGTGTGTGTGTGGGGGGGACTGTGATTTTGAGTTTAAAGGGGACCTATTATGCAAAATTCACTTTTATAATATTATTAAAACAATGATGTGCAACAATAAATAATATAAAATAAACACTGCAATATTCCATTAAACACTAAGAATCTCACAATTCATGGTGACAATCCACCTACTGGTCAATCCTGATTAATTGCACAGTGCTCATCCCTTGTCGTAGCATTAGTCAAATGCTCATCTGAAGCTAATGAAGTGCATAAGTGGAAAAGCCTGTGTGTGTGTGTGTGCTCAGACCCGTGGCTGCAGCGCAGTAAGAGTCCGGTTGGGAATCCACAGCTGATCCAGTTCAGCCGAGAGATGGTGGATCTCATGAAGAACCAGCCGTCCTGTTTGATGCCCGTCACCAAGTTCATTCCAGCGTATCACCACCATTTCGCCAAGCAGTGCCGTGTGTCGGACTACGGATACTCCAAACTGCTGGAGCTGCTGGAGGCCGTTCCTCACGTGCTGCAGGTCTGTGAACACAAGCTCACATTTACATTACACCTGCTCGCGAAGCATTGGGAACGTCAAATTGTGAATTTAAAGTTGACATGAAACTGAAGTTGCGCTAGTCTTTTCTTCTCTATTTTGCGGTATATCTGAGTGAAACGCTTCTGGAACAAGAACAAATGTGGGTGGGGCTTGATTGTGTCTGTGGGGAATTGATTGGATGGTTGTGGTTTGCTATTGGCTGATCTCATGTGAGTGACAGGTTATAGCCCCGCCCTCGTCATCACAGAAGAGAATGAGCCGCAAGAGAAAGGGGGAGATATTCTGATTCAAGATTGCAGGAACACAAATTTAAAAACAATGTGCATGAATAAATCATTTATAATTAATTCCATTAAAGGTGCTGTATGTAACTTTTTCACTTCTACTAAAGCATAAAAATACCATCACATGTTTGCAGATATTTAGGAAACATTCTAAGTTCACATACTCGTTACTTCTCTGAAAAACACTTCTACAGCCAGTTATTTTATTTTACTGAAATGTGCGTTCCATGTTGGAATGTCTGTTTTTGTTTTAGTCTGTGTGACTCCGCCCACTGCCAGTTCACCCAATAGTATTTCGCCACCGATAGTATTTTTGGGATGCCAGTTGGCAGGGGAAACAGTGCATTGGAGCCATTAAGCTAAAAAGCCTTGGTATCCATCTAAAAATCTCTCTGAACGAGAGCATATTAAAACGCGATCCCGGATATTTAGAATTTGGACTGCAGTACCTATTTCGACCACTAGCTGTCAATCTTACAGACTGCACCTTTAAAAAGAATTGTGCATATTGATTTCATGCTGACTTTAATTCTTTTGTGTGTGTGTAGATTCTGGGTTTAGGCTCCAAGCGTTTGTTGACGTTGACTCATCGCGCGCAGATCAAGCGCTTCACTCAAGACCTGCTGAAGCTGCTGAAGTTTCAGGCCAGTAAACAGGTGGTGATCGGGGACTTCGCTCAGGCGTATCACTGGTGAGAATCTCAGGATGGCCGGTTCTCTCTCTCTGCTTCTTAAAGGGGTAGTTCACCAAAAAATGAAAATTTAGCAAATGATTTACTCGCCTTTAAATCATCCTAGGTGTATATGACATTCTTCTTTCAGACGAATACAATCGGAGTTATATTAAAAAAAAATGTCCTGGCTCTTCTAAGCTTTATAATGGCAGTGGATGGCCGTTTTTGTTTTGAAGTCCATAAAAGTGCATCTGTCCATCATAAAAGTGCATCTGTCCATCATAAAGTGCATCTATCCATCATAACATCCATCATAAAAGTGCATCTATCAATCATAAAAGTGCATCTATCCATCATAAAAGTGCATCTGTTCATCATAAAAGTGCATCTGTCCATCATAAAGTGCATCTATCCATCATAACATCCATCATAAAAGTGCATCTATCCATCATAAAAGTGCATCTGTTCATCATAAAAGTGCATCTGTTCATCATAAAAGTGCATCTGTCCATCATAAAAGTGCATCTGTCCATCATAAAAGTGCATCTATCCATCATAACATCCATCATAAAAGTGCATCTGTTCATCATAAAAGTGCATCTGTTCATCATAAAAGTGCATCTGTCCATCATAAAAGTGCATCTGTCCATCATAAAAGTGCATCTATCCATCATAACATCCATCATAAAAGTGCATCTATCCATCATAAAAGTGCATCTGTCCATCATAAAAGTGCATCTATCCATCATAAAAGTGCATCTGTCCATCATAAAAGTGCATCTGTCCATCATAAAGTGCATCTATCCATCATAACATCCATCATAAAAGTGCATCTATCAATCATAAAAGTGCATCTATCAATCATAAAAGTGCATCTATCCATCATAAAAGTGCATCTGTTCATCATAAAAGTGCATCTGTCCATCATAAAGTGCATCTATCCATCATAACATCCATCATAAAAGTGCATCTATCCATCATAAAAGTGCATCTGTTCATCATAAAAGTGCATCTGTTCATCATAAAAGTGCATCTGTCCATCATAAAAGTGCATCTGTCCATCATAAAAGTGCATCTATCCATCATAACATCCATCATAAAAGTGCATCTGTTCATCATAAAAGTGCATCTGTTCATCATAAAAGTGCATCTGTCCATCATAAAAGTGCATCTGTCCATCATAAAAGTGCATCTATCCATCATAACATCCATCATAAAAGTGCATCTATCCATCATAAAAGTGCATCTGTCCATCATAAAAGTGCATCTATCCATCATAAAAGTGCATCTGTCCATCATAAAAGTGCATCTGTCCATCATAAAGTGCATCTATCCATCATAACATCCATCATAAAAGTGCATCTATCAATCATAAAAGTGCATCTATCAATCATAAAAGTGCATCTATCCATCATAAAAGTGCATCTGTTCATCATAAAAGTGCATCTGTTCATCATAAAAGTGCATCTATCCATCATAAAAGTGCATCTGTTCATCATAAAAGTGCATCTGTTCATCATAAAAGTGCATCTATCCATCATAAAAGGGCATCTATCCATCATAAAAGGGCATCTATCCATCATAAAAGGGCATCTATCCATCATAAAAGGGCATCTATCCATCATAAAAGGGCATCTGTCCATCATAAAAGTGCATCTGTTCATCATAAAAGTGCATCTATCCATCATAAAAGTGTATCTGTCCATCATAAAAGTGCATCTGTTCATCATAAAAGTGCATCTATCCATCATAAAAGTGCATCTATCCATCATAAAAGTGGATCTGTCCGTCATAAAAGGGCATCTATCTGTCATAAAAGTGGATCTGTCCATCATAAAAGGGCATCTATCTGTCATAAAAGTGCATCTGTCCGTCATAAAAGTGCATCTGTTCATCATAAAAGTGCATCTATCCATCATAAAAGTGCATCTGTTCATCATAAAAGTGCATCTGTTCATCATAAAAGTGCATCTATCCATCATAAAAGTGGATCTGTCCATCATAAAAGTGCATCTGTTCATCATAAGTGCATCTATCCGTCATAAAAGGGCATCTATCCATCATAAAAGGGCATCTATCCATCATAAAAGTGGATCTGTCCATCATAAAAGGGCATCTATCTATCATAAAAGTGGATCTGTCCATCATAAAAGTGCATCTGTTCGTCATAAAAGTGCATCTGTCCATCATAAAAGTGCATCTATCCATCATAAAAGGGCATCTATCTGTCATAAAAGTGCATCTGTCCATCATAAAAGTGCATCTGTTCATCATAAAAGTGCATCTATCCATCATAAAAGTGGATCTATCCATCATAAAAGGGCATCTATCCATCATAAAAGTGCATCTGTCCATCATAAAAGTGCATCTGTCCATCATAAAAGTGCATCTGTCCATCATAAAAGTGCATCTGTCCATCATAAAAGTGCATTTATCCATCATAAAAGTGCATCTATCCATCATAAAAGTGGATCTATCCATCATAAAAGGGCATCTATCTGTCATAAAAGTGGATCTATCCATCATAAAAGTGGATCTATCCATCATAAAGTGCTCCACACGGCTCTGGCGGGTTAATGAAGGCCTTCTGAAGCGATGAGTTTTTGTGAGAAAAATATCCGTATTTAACATGTTACAAAGTAAAATTCTAGTCAAACACAGTCTCTACTTGCTTATAAACCAAGTACTAATGACGTCAGAAGTAGCGTAAATATCAGCAGTACGTCGCATTACTCGCATAAGTTGCGCTTTAGACTTAAGTGGAATCTGTTTGGCCAGAAGATAGATTTTACTTATCCATATTTAATATCCATATTTAATACAGTTTTAAATATGGATATTTTTCTTACACAAACGTTTTGCTTCAGAAAGCCTTTATTAACCCCCGCGGAGCCTGTGGAGCACTTTTATGATGGATAAATGCACTTATATTTAGATGCACTGCCATTATAAAGCTTGGAAGAGACAGGATATTTTTTAATATAACTCTGATTGTGTTCGTCTGAAAGAAGAGTGTCATATACACCTAGGATGACTTGAGGGTGAGTAAATCATGGGCTAATTTTCATTTTTGGGTGAACTATCCCTTTAAGCATTAGGTGTAACCTCTTCCTCCTGATCTGTGTGTGTGTGTCAGGTGTTTCTCCAGGAACTGGCAGGTGATGGATTATGGGATGTGTGATCTGATGGACCTGTTAGCTGAGATTCCGGACACGACCATCACAGTCACTCAGCAGGACTGTGACACGCTCATCTCTGTTCCCAAAAGAGGTGCAAATGCATGAATCCCTGACAACATGACTTAAATAGATGCAAGATTACAGTGTTATGTTTCCAATGTTCCAGTTGCGAATTTAACTTAAAGGGGTGGTTTAATATGATTTCACTTTTCTAACTTTAGTTAGTGTGTAATGTTGCTGTTTGAGCATTAACATCATCTGCAAAGTTACATCGCTCAAAGTTCAAAGCAAAGGGAGAGATTTGCTTTTAAAGAAATAGTTTTTTAGCTAAGATGCAATTCATGAAAATTGGGCACTTCTGGAAAAGTTTTTGTTTTTTGGCAGGGTGTTAGGTATAGGCCTAAGGTTTTCAAAAGTCCATGGATACGAGTTGGGGTGGTCCCCCTAGTGGCAGTTATCCATAAAATCCAAATTGGCCGAAAAGAGAAAAGGTTATATCTCAGCTTCCCTTAGTCTTAAATTGTTGAATAATGTATTTTTTTTTTCTACTTTGTTTGATACAAGGAATCCAATTCTGATATATTCTTCTTATTTTAAGTCCATTTCCATGTTAAATCTATTATCAGTCTTATTTAGCTCAAATAAACTGTCAATATCTCTGAAAAAGTCACATTGAAATATTATTCCGGCCTCTAGACCCATATTTTTACCGCCAATGTATGCTTTTCTTTGTTGATTGGACAGGACACTATCACTATAGTGTCAAAAATCACATGTTGTGACCAAAAGGACCATTGTTGAGGCTTTAAATGAACACAAATTCAGAACTATGCCACAGTGAAAAGTTATATTAGGCTTTTCACCATGTTAAGGATCAATATTACATTTTAGTCAAATAACACAAAAAAACAATACATACTTAAACATCATGTATTCATAAAAAAAAAATCACTCTTCATCATTATTAGTACAGCCTCCCTCACCCTTGCACAAGCACTGCCCCTCTTCCATGCGTTCAAAGGATGTGACGTTGTATCAGCAATGTATGGAATTGGCAAAAAAACTGCATGGAATGCGTGGGCAGCTTACCCAGAAGCCCCCGACACCCTCATTGTGATCACCCAAGACCCAACCAGCCTCACACTGGAATTAGTGCAAATGCGAGTTCTCGAACGCTGGACTGTACTCATGTACACTCACCTAAAGGATTATTAGGAACACCTGTTCAATTTCTCATTAATGCTATTATCTAATCAACCAATCACATGGCAGTTGCTTCAATGCATTTAGGGGTGTGGTCCTGGTCAAGACAATCTCCTGAACTCCAAACTGAATGTCAGAATGGGAAAGAAAGGTGATTTAAGCAATTTTGAGCGTGGCATGGTTGTTGGTGCCAGACGGGCCGGTCTGAGTATTTCACAATCTGCTCAAGTACTGGGATTTTCACGCACAACCATTTCTAGGGTTTACAAAGAATGGTGTGAAAAGGGAAAAACATCCAGTAGGGCTGGGCGATATGGCCCAAAAAATGTATCACGGTATTTTTTTTTATATCAGTCGATATCGATAATTATCACGATAAATGTCAAATCTTTATTTCTTTCAAGTTTAAAGGCAGATTTTTGCTCCTAAGTGAAAGTTGTATAAACCAGAGCGTTGTGGTTTTAAAAATCTGAGGTAGAACATTCAAACATTTGTCATTTTTCCTTAACAAAATAAATATCTGAAAAGAAAAATATTTCTTCAGCACAGTTTGCAGTGCAGGCTGCAATATTCAAATTACATGTTTTGTCTCGAAATGCATATTTGACAGTGAGTTAAGAGTAAATCTACATCCTAACTCAAGCTAATGCTGCTATGTTAAATTTATGTTCATTAACAAAAACAGTAACATCTGGGTTTTTTTTATTTAAGGACCACATTTTTATTTGGTAAAATGTAATATTCTGAGTTTTATTGAAATTAACCATTGGTCATCCAGTATCATGCATTTAGATCATGATAACCACAGATAAAGCCAGGTACACCCTATAGCACCTCACTATCATGGCAAAATGTAACTTTATGGTTTCTATGGTATTTGTATGAAAAACAGTAGCCTAACAGTTAAATACATTATTAAATACTGTAATTATATTCCATTAGTCATTTAATACATTGTCTACATTAATAATATTATACAATTCAATATGTATATCCCACATTTCATGGTGCAGTTAATATTACTAGGCTCACGTTACAGTAAGTTAAATCCATGGTAGGCTAAATGGATTCAGTATCAATTCAGATTCTGAATTCGCTGCGCAGTGTTTCTCCTGTTTGTCAGCGGTGTTGCATCTGCCTTTAAACTGATTTAAACTGGACATTTGTGTACTTCGCTGAACTTAAGCGCTTCTCACTGGATCTCGTGAGCCAGACGATCAGAGTAAACGCGTCTGCTCTAGTGAGCTCGCGCTGCCATTTGGACTTTGAGCCGAGCGGATAAACGGTCCGTGTGGCGCGAGGTTCAAATGAGTTTCGTTCCGCTTTTGGCGCATACACATTATCGAACATTTATCGACCTTTTGATATTGTTTTATCGAGAAAAATTATATCGCGATAATTATCGTTATCGTTCTATCGCCCAGCCCTAACATCCAGTATGCGGCAGTCCTGTGGGCGAAAATGCCTTGTTGATGCCAGAGGTCAGAGGAGAATGGGCCGACTGATTCAAGCTGATAGAAGAGCAACTTTGACTGAAATAACCACTCGTTACAACCGAGCTATGCAGCAAAGCATTTGTGAAGCCACAACACACACAACCTTGAGGCGGATGGGCTACAACAGCAGAAGACCCCACCGGGTACCACTCATCTCCACTACAAATAGGAAAAAGAGGCTACAATTTGCAAGAGCTCACCAAAATTGGACAGTTGAAGACTGGAAAAATGTTGCCTGGTCTGATGAGTCTCGATTTCTGTTGAGACATTCAGATGGTAGAGTCAGAATTTGGCATAAACAGAATGAGAACATGGATCCATCATGCCTTGTTACCACTGTGCAGGCTGGTGGTGGTGGTGTAATGGTGTGGGGGATGTTTTAATGGCACACTTTAGGCCCCTTACTGCCAATTGGGCATCGTTTAAATGCCACGGCCTACCTGAGCATTGTTTCTGACCATGTCCATCCCTTTATGGCCACCATGTACCCATCCTCTGATGGCTACTTCCAGCAGGATAATGCACCATGTCACAAAGCTCGAATCATTTCAAATTGGTTTCTTGAACATGACAATGAGTTCACTGTACTAAAATGGCCCCCACAGTCACCAGATCTCAACCCAATAGAGCATCTTTGGGATGTGGTGGAACGGGAGCTTCGTGCCCTGGATGTGCATCCCACAAATCTCCATCAACTGCAAGATGCTATCCTATCAATATGGGCCAACATTTCTAAAGAATGCTTTCAGCACCTTGTTGAATCAATGCCACGTAGAATTAAGGCAGTTCTGAAGGCGAAAGGGGGTCAAACACAGTATTAGTATGGTGTTCCTAATAATCCTTTAGGTGAGTGTATAGTAAGAACTGCGGTGTCAAATCAGTCAATGAAGCCTGTAAGCTTCTTTTCACTAATGGCCTCAAGTCCCTGGATTCAATCCCCCCGACCCAGCATGCCTTATTCCAGCCTGGGAAGCGTGCCCTGCACACTGCAGCTTTTGTCTGGAAGCAGTCCCTCTCCAAAACTCCAGAGATTCCAGACCCCAGTGAGTGAGGTTGGGAATGGAATGACAAAACCAAAATCTGGGTGCCATATTGGACAGATCTGGAAGATGTCAGCAAGGGATGCTCACTCCTCCTCAACTGTGGCTGTGTGGTTGCCTGTAAGGGCAACTGTAAGTGCCACCGAGCTGGACTTCGCTGTACCACATTGTGCAAGTGTGAGGGAGGCTGTACTAATCATGATGAAGAGTGAAACAATTTTTTTTTAATAAATACATGATGTTTAAGTATGTATTGTGTTTTTTTTTGTGTGTGTTATTTGACTAAAATGTAATATTGATCCTTAACATGGTGAAAAGCCTAATATAACTTTTCACTGTGGCATAGTTCTGAAGTTCTGTTCAATTAAAGCCTCAACAATGGTCCTTTTGGTCACAACATGTGATTTTTGACACTATGGTGATAGTGACCTGTCCAATCAACAATGAAAAGCATACCTTGGAGGTAAAATTATGGGTCTAGGGCCCTGAGTAATATTTCAATGTGACTTTTTCAGAGATATTGACAGTTTATTTGCGCTAAATATGACTATGATAATAGATTTAACATGGAAATGGACTTAAAATAAGAAGAATATATCAGAATTGGATTCCTTGTATCAAACAAAGTAGAGAAAATTACATTATACAACAATTTAAGACTAAAGGAAGCTGAGATATAACCTTTTCTCTTTTCGGCGGGGGCCAATTTGGATTTTATGGATAACTGCCACTAGGGGGACCACCCCAACTTGTATCCATGGTTTTTTAAAAACCTTAGGCCTATACCTAACACCCTGCCAAAAATCAAAAACTTTTCCAGAACTGCCCAATCTTCATGAATTTTCACGTATTCCTTCCCAGCTATTTTAAGGACTACAACAAACGGCTGGTAGGAACTACACAAGCTTCCTCCCGGATTAGTGACATCATGAACCCTAAAATGTACATAAACCCGCCCTCGGGAACGCGATTTATAGATTATCAAGACAGAATATGCTAATCAATGACTAGAAGATAACTACATATAAGATACATAAATTCATCAACTAACCATTCAGAAATGTTGTCGACATGTTTTCACTTCTTGAGTCTCTCCATCTTTCTGACTTCGGTCTGAACATAAAAGGCTAAAAGTTTTGGGAATTTTCAGTGTGTGTGTGAGGTAAAAGGACAAGAGCTCTTGAAGCTCCGCCCCCTGTGCCGGGAGCAGCAGCTCATTTGCATTTAAAGAGACGGACACAAAAACGTTGCGTTTTTGCTCACCCTCAAAAAGTGACAACTTTAACATGCTATAAAAAAATATTTGGGGTATTTTGAGCTAAAACTTCACACACACATCATGATGTCTCTGATGTGGACATCAGAGACATATTTTACATCTTGTTAAAAGGGCATTATACCACCGCTTTAAGCACAAAATTGGAATATCGCATAAAACATTTGCGAATAAAGCACCGTTTCCATACCATGCGTTCAAGAGAACAAAATCATCACTTTCTGGGAAATTGGTGCAAATTATCTGTAATAAAACTAAGTTTCTGGAGGGATAAATAATTGTCTCAGAGTGTTAGACGAAACACAATAAACGCTGTCATTTAGTATTCACGGTTCTATAAATATGCAAATGAGCCCCGCCTCCACTCACTAACACAAGCATAAAACACCACATAGACATTAAAAGACATATAACAAAAGACATGTATAACATTCAAAGCTTGATTTCCACCTCAGGGAGACTTTAAAATCATCAAGTAGGGATGCTAACGATTATTCGACGATCAATTATTTGCCGATAATAATTTAATTGATTTCTGCTCAACCACGAAACACAGAAAGCAGACGCAAGGAAAAATGAAACTAGTGTGAACATAAACTAGTCCCAAACAAAGTCGATATTGTCAATTACAAACATTGCGACTGTTAAAATCAGACTGTAAAAAAATGGGCGTAGTGTGCGTTTTTGAAGCCCAAAGGGGGTGGAGCCGGCCATCGCCCTCTTGGCCGCGTGTCACTCCCGGATAAACGTAAATGGGCAGCGAGGCGGATTAGCTGAGGTGACGCTAACGCTAGCAGACAAAGGGCTAGTAGTGACATCAGCAGCAATCCACCTGTCACTCAAGTGGCCATGCCCTTAATTATGCAGAACTTTAAGGGTTAATATAATTTAAACGGATGAGTTATAAAATATTCACCCCCCTCACAGTCGTCATGAAGGGCAAAATTAGCTATATAGACAAACACTTTTTGCACCAGACTGTAAACATGTTTTATTCTGCTGTAAAGTTGGGCATTTTAACATGCGGCTCTATGGGACTGAGTCTCTTCTGCAGCCGGCCTCTAGTGGCCAGTGGAGGAACTGCAGGTTAACTCACTTCCGTGTTGGTTTCAAGAGAGTGACCGAAAGGAGACCAGAAAATAAATACTGATTACGAGCTTAATCGCATCAATTTGATCAACGTGTTGTTTACATAAGGGAAACTTTAATCACAATGTCACCTAAATATCATTATAATTGCATTATGAGAGTTGGTGTAACAGTGCTGTCGTCTGGTCCCTCAGAACGCACGTCAGAGGAGGTGGAACGCACACGGCAGTTTGGGAAGGAGGTTGTGGACCTTCTGAGACATCAGCCTCACTTCCGGATGCCCTTCAGCAAGTTCATCCCCACGTATCACCACCACTTCGGACGCCAGTGCAAGCTCTCCTACTACGGCTTCACCAAACTCATGGAGCTGTTCGAGGCCATTCCTGACATTCTTCTGGTCGGTACAACCACAGATGTGAAGGTGCTCGATATAGGGCTGCACGATTAATCGCGATTTACATGTAATCATCATAATGAAACCAATTTGGCTTATCACGATTATGAAATCGCAAAGGCTGCGATTTAATTTTTTATATTTATTTATTTTGTATGCGCGGTTTGTCATAGATGTACGGCTCCGTAAACGCTGCTCCATCTGAAAGCACTGTGAGTTTGAGTGTCTTATAACGTGCATTTGAAAAGGCAAACATGAGAAGCATTTATGAACCTCTTGTCCAACGAAAGACAACATTAAATAACATGCTTTTACTCCAAACTCTCTTCATCAGGACAGCTGAGCTCATCCTTCTGTTAGATGATGCGCTTCTGACTGACACAGAATAAGGCAGTCATGTGTTTATTAGTCATGTTTAATCAAGGTGTTTCAATCTGTTTATTCAGATACAGCGATAGGGGTTTCCTGGAAAGACATGTGTTGTCTTCTTCAGCGGGTCATTTGTGGTGTGTGTGAGACGCCCTCTGGTGTTCAGATGGATATGTGGTGTGTGTGAGACGCCCTCTGGTGTTCAGATGGATATGTGGTGTGTGTGTGAGACGCCCTCTGGTGTTCAGATGGATATGTGGTGTGTGTGTGAGACTCCCTCTGGTGTTCAGATGGATATGTGGTGTGTGTGTGAGACGCCCTCTGGTGTTCAGATGGATATGTGGTGTGTGTGTGATGCCCTCTGGTGTTCAGATGGATATGTTGTGTGTGTGCGAGACTCCCTCTGGTGTTCAGATGGATATGTGGTGTGTGTGTGAGACGCCCTCTGGTGTTCAGATGGATATGTGGTGTGTGTGTGATGCCCTCTGGTGTTCAGATGGATATGTTGTGTGTGTGCGAGACTCCCTCTGGTGTTCAGATGGATATGTGGTGTGTGTGTGAGACTCCCTCTGGTGTTCAGATGGATATGTGGTGTGTGTGCGAGACTCCCTCTGGTGTTCAGATGGATATGTGGTGTGTGTGTGATGCCCTCTGGTGTTCAGATGGATATGTGGTGTGTGTGAGACGCCCTCTGGTGTTCAGATGGATATGTGGTGTGTGTGTGAGACGCCCTCTGGTGTTCAGATGGATATGTGGTGTGTGTGTGATGCCCTCTGGTGTTCAGATGGATATGTTGTGTGTGTGCGAGACTCCCTCTGGTGTTCAGATGGATATGTGGTGTGTGTGAGACGCCCTCTGGTGTTCAGATGGATATGTGGTGTGTGTGTGAGACGCCCTCTGGTGTTCAGATGGATATGTGGTGTGTGTGTGATGCCCTCTGGTGTTCAGATGGATATGTTGTGTGTGTGCGAGACTCCCTCTGGTGTTCAGATGGATATGTGGTGTGTGTGTGAGGCGCCCTCTGGTGCTCAGATGGATATGTGGTGTGTGTGTGTGACGCCCTCTGGTGTTCAGATGGATATGTGGTGTGTGTGTGTGACGCCCTCTGGTGTTCAGATGGATATGTGGTGTGTGTGTGAGGCGCCCTCTGGTGCTCAGATGGATATGTGGTGTGTGTGAGACGCCCTCTGGTGTTCAGATGGATATGTTGTGTGTGAGACTCCCTCTAGTGTTCAGATGGATATGTGGTGTGTGTGTGAGACGCCTTCTGGTGTTCAGATGGATATGTGGTGTGTGTGTGATGCCCTCTGGTGTTCAGATGGATATGTTGTGTGTGTGTGAGACGCCCTCTGGTGTTCAGATGGATATGTGGTGTGTGTGTGAGACGCCCTCTGGTGTTCAGATGGATATGTTGTGTGTGAGACTCCCTCTAGTGTTCAGATGGATATGTGGTGTGTGTGTGAGGCGCCCTCTGGTGTTCAGATGGATATGTGGTGTGTGTGAGACGCCTTCTGGTTAGGGCTGGGCGATATGGAGCAAAAAATATATCTCGATATATTTTGCTATATCTCGATATTCGATATATATCTCGATATCTTTACAGGAAAATGGATGTGAATACAACTCAAAATATAGGCCTACAATCAATAGAAAATTAATTTTCCATAACAGAATGTAACCAAATGAGAAAAATTAAACACAGGGCCTGAATTTCGTCATCATTATTAATCACGTGATTCATATACAGAAACTGAATAAAGTAATCAAATGGAAAATAACACAGTAGTATTTTAGTCCTGAATAAATTAAATGCATAGGTTATTAATCCTGATTCCTTTAATTTAAAGCTATCTTTTGTTGTATTGACAACAAAATTAATGACAGACACATATGGCTGCCGTCACTTTAAGAGCTAGTGCACGGATCCTGTGTTCATTATACTGGCATGCGTTTTATGCTTATTAAAGACAAAACCGACTATGTTTAGAGTATACTCACGACGACCGAAATTGACAATTTTGCGTGTTAAAGCAATATAATCCGCGAAAAATAACTTTTGTTACTGGCCAGCTGTTCTTAAGGCGGATTTTCTATGAATGTGCGCATAGAAAATAATCTCTCAGAGAGCGCGCGAGCACTGATTAGTTTAAAATCGCTTGAATGTTTAAACTGGTAAGACTTAAAAAGACGTGCAAATGGTAAACTTCAGTCACGATGCACTGCTGGCCCGATTGTGCGAGTGAATATCCATCATGTCCCGACTCCTAAACGCGAGTGTATGTTATGGCCGCAGCGCTTGATGCTTGCCTTGCACAACACATTATGAGAGAAGAGAAAGAAGACGCGGCACCGCTGAACACTCACGCTGTTTGTGAAATTGCGTCTGGCAGATAGTTGTTAAAAGAATGATTTGATTTTATAATCTGTGTGGATTACGATTGCGGGAATTTCCCGCATTATAAATGGGAGACCTGCGGGAATGATTAGAATTATGCGCAATACCCGCGCCGAAATTCGAGCCCTGCAATAGTTTAAAACAAGACGTTTGTAGTAGCCTTCTGATTACTGGAGTCCATTAATCGAACTTCCATGCCTCTTATATAGTAATTATATATTGTAGTATGTAGGCTACCAATTTACTAATGCAATTAATGCTCACACTCGGTTTCTCTCGTGCTCTGTCGCTCGCGCGCAGACACACTCGGAGTTCTGTAGCCTCCGGGCTGGTTGCGGATGAGACAATTTTTGAATGAGACAACACGCGAGGTGAGGGGGAACAAAAGCAAGGAGGCGGGGGCGAGCACAGCACAGAGAAGGCAAACAAGCAAAGTGGCGAAATCAGGATTAAAAATAAACAATATATCGATATATACGATATGTCAAAATCCATATCGTGTTTAAAAAATATCTCGATATATTTTAAATATCGAGATATCGCCCACCCCTACTTCTGGTGTTCAGATGGATATGTGGTGTGTGTGTGAGGCGCCCTCTGGTGCTCAGATGGATATGTGGTGTGTGTGAGACGCCTTCTGGTGTTCAGATGGATATGTGGTGTGTGTGTGAGACGCCCTCTAGTGTTCAGATGGATATGTGGTGTGTGTGTGAGATGCCCTCTGGTGTTCAGATGGATATGTTGTGTGTGAGACTCCCTCTGGTGTTCAGATGGATATGTGGTGTGTGTGTGAGGCGCCCTCTGGTGCTCAGATGGATATGTGGTGTGTGTGAGACGCCTTCTGGTGTTCAGATGGATATGTGGTGTGTGTGAGACTCCCTCTAGTGTTCAGATGGATATGTGGTGTGTGTGTGAGGCGCCCTCTGGTGCTCAGATGGATATGTGGTGTGTGTGAGACGCCTTCTGGTGTTCAGATGGATATGTGGTGTGTGTGTGAGACGCCCTCTGGTGTTCAGATGGATATGTGGTGTGTGTGTGAGGCGCCCTCTGGTGCTCAGATGGATATGTGGTGTGTGTGAGACTCCCTCTGGTGTTCAGATGGATATGTTGTGTGTGTGTGAGACGCCCTCTAGTGTTCAGATGGATATGTGGTGTGTGTGTGAGATGCCCTCTGGTGTTCAGATGGATATGTTGTGTGTGAGACTCCCTCTGGTGTTCAGATGGATATGTGGTGTGTGTGTGAGACGCCCTCTGGTGTTCAGATGGATATGTTGTGTGTGTGTGTGTGTGAGACGCCCTCTGGTGTTCAGATGGATATGTGGTGTGTGTGTGTGAGACGCCCTCTGGTGTTCAGATGGATATGTGGTGTGTGTGTGACGCCCTCTAGTGTTCAGATGGATATGTGGTGTGTGTGTGACGCCCTCTAGTGTTCAGATGGATATGTGGTGTGTGTGTGTGTGTGAGACGCCCTCTGGTGTTCAGATGGATATGTGGTGTGTGTGTGTGAGACGCCCTCTGGTGTTCAGATGGATATGTGGTGTGTGTGTGACGCCCTCTAGTGTTCAGATGGATATGTGGTGTGTGTGTGACGCCCTCTAGTGTTCAGATGGATATGTTGTGTGTGTGTGTGTGTGAGACGCCCTCTGGTGTTCAGATGGATATGTGGTGTGTGTGTGTGAGACGCCCTCTGGTGTTCAGATGGATATGTGGTGTGTGTGTGACGCCCTCTAGTGTTCAGATGGATATGTGGTGTGTGTGTGACGCCCTCTAGTGTTCAGATGGATATGTGGTGTGTGTGTGAGACGCCCTCTGGTGTTCAGATGGATATGTGGTGTGTGTGTGAGGCGCCCTCTGGTGTTCAGATGGATATGTGGTGTGTGTGTGATGCCCTCTGGTGTTCAGATGGATATGTTGTGTGTGTGCGAGACTCCCTCTGGTGTTCAGATGGATATGTTGTGTGTGTGTGAGACTCCCTCTGGTGTTCAGATGGATATGTTGTGTGTGTGCGAGACTCCCTCTGGTGTTCAGATGGATATGTGGTGTGTGTGTGATGCCCTCTGGTGTTCAGATGGATATGTTGTGTGTGTGCGAGACTCCCTCTGGTGTTCAGATGGATATGTTGTGTGTGTGCGAGACTCCCTCTGGTGTTCAGATGGAGCAGTTTTACTACCGATCAGCCGCTGCACTGACAAACCACATAAAATAATCGCAGAGCCAAATCGCGTGCGGTTTCCTTGTACAGCCCTAGTGATAGAGCAGTCGGCGGGAGTCTTTGACTCACACTCACTCACTCACACTCTCTCTCTCTGTCAGGTGTTGGAGTGTGGAGAGGAGCGTCTGCTAGCGCTGACGGAGGTGGAGTGTGTGAAAGCACTAGCGGCTCAGCTGGTGAAGCTGCTTCGAGCTCAGAGAGACTCAGGACTCCCTGTTAATCAGCTGCTGTGCGAATACAGCAAGACGTTCGGCTACAGCCTCCGCCTGCAGGACTACGACTCCGGCACGCTGCCCGTCCTGCTCAACAAGCTCTGCCATGTAGTGAAGGTACACGGGCAAGGTCTCTAAACTCAAGGCAAAGTTCTGTGTTTAGCAGGAGGGTTGGGTATCGTGTGAACTTCAACCATTCTGATTTCGATTCTACTTATTGATTCCAATTCTTATCAATTCCTAATTTCGATTCCAAGAAGTAAAAAAAACATTTAGTCTTGTTGCAAAACGTTTAATTGTAGCTGAATATCATGAACAAGAATCAACAGACTAAAGAACACGTACGCAAGGAACATTTGCCTGTGGTTCAAAAATGTCATAGAAAAACAATTAGCTGAACTAATATACATTTCAAGCATTATTAGAGACAAGTAAACACTAAACAAAAACAACTAAACAAATTAGCGATCTCTACAAATAGATACAACTAAATGAAGATACGATTGAAATAAAGTGTTTTAAGATTTTCAGGTACAGAAACGATCAAATATAAAATAACACTGCACTTTATAAATAAAATATACATTACAAATGAAGAGTTTGGTTCCAAAACGCGATAAATGCCTTTTTTTTTTTAAAAAGTAGTTACTGCAAAAATCAGTATTATATTTGGTTGGTATTGAAAAGTCAATGTTTAATTTTAAGTAAAATGCGATATCCGCCGTGTTATTCTGTCATGTTTTCTCCCTTTCTTTCCAAACCGCGACAAACGCCAGTCTCCCTTCTCTGCGACATATCCGCTCTCAACCAATCACAGCGCACCATTCCACTCTCAACCAATCACAGCGCACCATTCCACTCAATGTAAACGGTAACGGCAGCGCCTTAAATACACCCGGCTTCCTAGTTCTTCTAATCTATTTTGTACTTTTCGATCAACAAACAAACAAAAAAATGAATAATTTTGAGGGCATTGATGAACCTGTGGTTGTTTCTGCGGTGGGTGAGAAACGTAAGGCATCGAAATCGAATCATTTACATGAGGAGATTAAGAAGACGAGACCCTCGAGGAGGAGGAAAATCTTCTTTACAGTTCTTAATAAAAATATTATACTAATAAACTTACATTGTTGTGTATTTTCAACAGTTTCAATATGAAAAAAAAAACTTTTATATTGATTCAATGGATTAATTGCATTTTGAATAAAAAAAAAAGGATTTATTGCATTTTGGGGGAAAAAATAATCCGTTTTTATAATAAATCTTTGAAAATCAAAACCTGGATTTTTTTTTTTTTGATTTTTTTTTTTTATGACCTACAAATGCTGTGTGAAAGTTTGAAACAGAAAATAGTGGATTTCATCTTTCCACTTTCTTGTTAAAGAAAACACTCAAATTAATCTAAATGGATTTATTGCGTTTTGGAACCAAACTCTTCAAATATACTTACAAAAGTAATATTAGGCTGTCGTCACTTTAAGAGCTGCACGGATCCAATATACCGCTACACACGCCTGCAGCGCTCGCGTCTCGCGCTTGAATGGTTTAAAGTCATGCTTGAAATGCTCACAAAGGAATCAATAAGAGGAATCGAAATTAATTTCATAACAAATATCCGTTTCCTGACCTCAAGTATTCAGCAGTTGTTTCTATGAATTGCAGCGATCATTTGCTTCTGTCTTTCGCCAGTCTGTAAAAATATACCTCAGATTTCTTGTCAAATCTGTTTGTACAGTCGATCTCAAAGCTCTTTCCCGTTTTAGATGCGTTTAGTTTGTTTTTCATGGCATTCATGCTGAAAACAGATGCTGCCGCTCAGTGTGTGTGACCCTATTAACGCATAACCTCTATTGGCCTAAAGGTGGTGGAACCTCAAAGTCACATCCACTTATATTACATCACCACACAGCCAATGACCGTTTGAAAGGCGTCTACCAGCCAGAACTATTTCTAACGAGTTCAAACTCCAGAAACTAACTTCGTTTTGGTCTGATTTTGTTCAGAGTTACATTACACCAGTTCGTTCTTCGATGTCACCAGACGAGCTGCTCTAAAACCAAACGCGTTCTTGGAAGATTGTAGACGACGCAGCTTTCAGTTTTTGAAAATGATCTTTTTCCGTCTTTCTCTCCAGGTGGTCGATGCTCCCGGAGGGAAGGAGGTGCAGCTCATTAACAGGAAGTCCCTGCGTGCCTTGACGTCTCAGCTGCTGGCGCTGATGATGTCACTTCCTGAGGATCGTGATCATCTCGGAGTGGAAGAGCTGAGGCAGCAGTACGAGTTCGCTTACTCCACGCCACTCAACCCCTGCGAGTACGGCTTCATCTCGCTCACCGAGCTCCTCAAGAGTCTGCCGTACCTGCTCCAGGTACGAGCGCCACACAAGCTTTAGCTATGAGCTTTAGCCTAGCCAATGTGTGTACATACGTTTAATGTGCAGCAGACGAGAAGACGTACAACTTCTTTAAAGTCCCCCTGTGGTGGAAATCCAGCTTTTAATGTTGTTTATGTGTCTATGTGGTGTTTTTAATGTGCTTTAAGACAAACCATGTGTAAGTTCATAAGTCGACAGCATTGCTGAGTATTTTCTGCTTAAAACTGCAGTGAACCAAAGACAGTCTCAAAAACACGGTTTGAAATCGCTGGTGTTTCTGACGTCACAAACGACCTTGTAACCAATCAGATCAACGTGTGATCGTCAACCAGTGGATCTCTGAGCTGAGTGAGTGAGTGGAGGCGGGGCTCATTTGCATATTCATAGAACCGCACATACTAAATGAGGCAAGGGTGTCGAGTTACATTCAAGATATTTTAAGGCATGAAGATATTTTTTTCAAGATAAAAACATTTAATATATATTTTCGGTGATCAAAGATGAGTTTTAAGGAATAAAATGATTAACTACTGGGGGACTTTAATATAGATATGTGCGTTCTGTCACCGTTTAAACTGCCTTGTCAATCATCTTGTCACAGTTAACATCCTCCATTTCATTTCTATCAGTGTTGGAGAGAAATGTAGTAGCAGATAGGGGTTGAACGACTTCAGATTTTTTGAAGTCGACTGTTATGACATTAAAGTCGAGTCGACGTCGACTAGTCGATGACGTCATTCATAAAAACACAAGAGATGGGACTGCTTTGCAACATGCCACAATTTGCAATTAATTAACAGAAAATTATACAGATGCTGCTCAAACTTAAAAAACGGGGCCGTTTACACCTGGTCACTTCATGTTTTTTTACTGATCTGATTTATCAAAACGATTGCATTTAGCCTACACCTGGTCACATAAATATGTTTTCGCAAAACCGATATAAATCCGATCTTCAAACATTGCGCTATGCAGATTTAACGTGAGTTCACGTCACCGAAAGCAACAATAATGAGCTGCATTTTATTGATCATCAGCTAATTTCAAAATCAAAGACCGCAATAAGAGAGACGGCACTGGTAAGATCATTTTATTTCTTTACTTTTAATGAAGATGATTGTGTGTTAAGCGTCTGCGACTTACTTTCACTTACTTTTGATTTGCGATAGTTTGCACGTTGGCTTGATGAAGAGATGCTCAGCTGCTCATATGCGGCGATGCGTGTGGCTTCATCGCTATAATACGCTCTCACACGTTTATTTTTTAGCATTGTTGGGAGAAGTCCAATTTACATATGTGGTTTCAACAACCAGATCATTTACACTTGTCCAGTTTCGTCTGTTAAGCGGCCCAGACCTCCTCCTGAAGCGGTTTGAGCGATCGGATTTAAATCCGTTTCGGAGGGCATTTACACCTGGTCTCTTCACGATCGGATAGCTATCAGATCACAGAAACACATGAAGTGCCCTGGTGTAAACAGCACGCAGTTACATCATCATTTAGGATGAAAAGAAAAGGGAAAAAAGCTATAAATTCACATCTGTGCCTTAGTGATGCGCAGATCCAAGTAATACAAAATAATATTCCAATTAATTGCGGGTAAATTAGCTACATCATTAATATGTTTAAATAAATAAATGAAAAAAAAACTGTTTTAATGATTTTAATAAAGATACTGAACTCTCATTTCCGGTAAAACAGTGTGCGTCATGCTTTTACTTTCGTTTTCAACAATATCTAGTGTAAGGTCAGTAAGGTCTTTACACACACTTGATGTACCAATGCTGCTTTCTTGCTGCAATGACCCTCTGGGCTCTTCATCTGTGGTCGTCTGCAACATGTTAGTATCAAAATGAGCGCAATCATAGTGTCACATGATCAACGCGACTAGTCGACGTCAAGCTTAAAACGGTCGACTAGTCGGTTCAACCCCTAGTAGCACATTGATCTGGCAATCGTGGGTCTTTCATGGATTGGTTTTCCGGTAGAATGTGCACTTCGGATTCTAACCCGGAGAGAGTAAACCATCTGGGATACTCGTTTCAACACACGATTTGGGACACACTAATGCTAATTTCAAATGCTATTTAGGACCGATAGTATGTGAAATGATACGCAGCATTAGTCTGTATATCTGGTTTCTCTCCAGCTCTCTGAGGATGATGAAGATGATGATGACGGAGACGCTGAGGAGCGTGTGAGTTTGACGAGACTCTACCAGTTTGCCCGCAGTGTCCGTGCGCTTCTGCACACCTATCACTATAACCAGATCTTCCTGTCGGAGTTCTGCGGCGCCTTCAGCAAATACACCGGCCGAGAGTTTCAGCCGCTGACGTACGGATACAAGACGCTGGACGAGCTGCTGGCTGCCATACCTCAGGTTACACACACACACACACACACACACACACTCTAACCTCTGCTTTGATTCAGCATGCTCACATACACGCCTCAATGAACCGATTCTCTCTCATCTGTGTTTTCAACAGGTTGTCTGGATCAAAGGTCACGGTCACAAAAAGATCATAGTCCTGAAGAACGATATGAGAGGTATCAGAACCCTTTTTTGTTGGCAGATGCAGGATCTGAGTTTGACACCCCTGATGTAGCTCTATTATTAATGAACACATGATTCAATGTAACCCAGATAGTTAACAAAGAAACAGTGTTTGTACACATGCCAGATGGGCGTCTTTTTTTATTTTTTTGTGATCAACTTTTTATTGTCTTTAGATATAACAAAATAACATCCATTCAAACAGACAGACAGGGAAAAGGGGGAGCAACATGTATATTATCAATAATTTAATAATTCTCGAATTTAATAATTTAGCATTTTAATCAACAGTAAAACATTTTTGTCAACCTTTTACCATATGTCTTGGAGTATCGTGATATGTGTCGAATCGTGGCATGAGGGTCTCGCTACACCCCCAGCTGTTTGTGATGGAGTGTGTGTTAAAAGTCGAGCTGAATGTGTGTGTTTGCCTGTGCAGCTCGAGGCAGTCCAGCGGCCACTTTAGACGGTCCTCGTCCCGATGAAGAGAGTCGGTCCACCGACAGCCCCGCCAGCGGTAACTTCACATTTTCACATTTATTTGTATAGGACTTTTCACAATACACAATACAGTCCACATTACAATTTACAGTGATCTGTTATCAGAGGAAACTGTCTAAGTTATGCATGTCAGAAAATTTACATATACAAAATCACAGTTAGCGAAAAACGTATTCATTTAATATTTTAATGCAGAAACAATGAGCTCATTGAAGTAATAAATACTACTTATAGTCTTCTTATAGTCTTCTAATACTTCCATGAGACGGCGCTTTTTATCAGGACACAATTTTAAGGATTTATTTATGGATCCAGAATGAAGTACATTTAAAGAATCTTTTATAGAATTGTCCTTTTTTTTTTTTTTTTACATGTACTTTATTTTTATTCTTTATTTATTATTTTATTTAATTTTTTGTTTGTCTAAGTTTGTTTTAAGCAGGGATGTCCCGATCAGGTTTTTTTTGCCCTCGAGTCCGAGTCATTTGATTGAGTATCTACCGATACCGAGTCCCGATCCGATACATATATAATACAAAAAAAAAAGAATAAAGAAGAGAGAAAAAACAGATCCAGGATGTTCCTTATTTTTTATTTAATTCACCTTATTTTAATATTCAACAACTCTGTTAACAAACAGAGCACTTCTGTGAGGTAGCTTGAACAATCAAGTAATAAATAACATATAATCTTCACTTTTGGACTTTAGTGCAACAGTAAATATAGAAAAAGTCTAATATAAAAACAAAGAGCACCTCAACTTAAAATACCCGGCAGGCATGTAAACAAAAAATAAAAATGTTTTAAAAGTGTATAAAAAAATAATGAGAATATATATATATATATAGGCTAAATTAGGGGTGTAACAGTTCACAAAATTTGCGGTTCGATACGATACAGCAAAAAGAAAGAAATGCCAGAGAAATTTCCTATTTATTAAAGGAAAAACTATTTTTAAATAAGTGTGTTTTCCTACATCTTGAAACTTTCAGGTTTATAAATGGGTGTCATCTTTGAAGGATGAACAAATAATGTTTTGGTAATCACATTAAAAATAACATTTTAAATATATATTTATATAATATTTGAGTTTTGAAGTGCAACATTAAATCCATGTTCATTCACGGCACAATGTTTCTCCTGTTTCCACGTCAGCGCTGTTTGATCTAATAGAGATCTACGGTTAATAACGGAGAAATGTGAATGCTTCTCACTAGATCTCGCAGCGATGTTATTACTTCAGTGGCGAACTCAAATGTTTTCTTCACTGGATCTCTCAGCACAGTGTCGCTTGATCTCGCGCTGCACAGATGTTGCTGGTCTGAACTGATAAACGGTCCGTGAAGCACAATATAATGAGTAGCGCAGTTTCGTTCCGCTTTCATTACGCTTGCCATTTGATGTTGCGCAGCGTTGTGGTGATCGCGCCAGCGCGGATTTTGTCGGCAGGAAAAATGGTCCTAGGAATCGTTCGGTTTGTATGCGTACCGAACCGGAAGCCTCGTACCGAAAGGGTTCACTGATTACGAATACATGTACCGTTTCACCCCTAATTTACATATATCCGAGTCCTGATCGGGAGGTAACGTCCGATTCCGATCGAGTCTGAAACCACGTGATCGGATCGGGACATCCCTAGTTTTAATTATGTTATACATATAATATTATGTTGTTAAATGTTTAATATGTATCTGCCATGTAATAGCTGGTGCTGAAACTCAAATACTACTTGTTAACAAAACGTCACGGCCCCGACGAACACGCGCACATTACCCTGCGCTTCGCTAATCCGCGTGCGCGTGTGTGTGTGTGTGTCCGTCAGGTGAGCTGGAGCTGCTGTGTCTGGGTTCGGGATCTCCCGTGGATCTCCTGTGTGGCCCGGTCCCGTCCTGCCTGCCGTCTCCTCAGCTGCGACCCGACCCGGTTCATCCCGGAGATCTGATGCGCTTCGATCCGGTTCACGATCGGCAGCCTCGACCGGCCAACGGCCTCCTCACAGCGCCAGATAGTGGGTCGAGTCAACCGAAAGCTTGCATTACGGACAGCCCTGGTCGACGGACAACACGAAACAAGGTCAAGCTAGCGGCTAACTTCTCCTTCACGTCCGCCCTGTCAGGCTAACGCCGAACGAGTCCCGCGACATCACGGTGTCTTCGTTAGCATCTCTGTGTCCTTCCCTTTGACTCTGTGTGTCTGTACAGAAACATCATGTGACACAGATGTTATTCTGTGAGAGGAAACAGTCGTTCTGTGTGGGGAATTTCTGTTTTCAAAACTTTTGTGAACTCGTGTTCTCAAACCAGCTCCTGCCCGTGGGATTGGTCTTTCGTTACTACAAATGCTAGTTATCAATGTCTCGTCTGAGCCTGAAACGTGCCGACCGCAGCTGATCGGACCTGTGAAATCATGACGCTTTCATCCAAACCTTCATTACGGTGAATCTGTGCCTTTGTTTGAGACGTTATTTGTGTTGTTTGAAGCACATGGGCTTCGTTGAATGAAATTGAAGGTGGGTTTCGCTTAAAACCGTTTTCTGTTAATCCGTTTCAGAGCGGGAGCCTGTTATTAAAGAGCCTTCCTCCTCTCTTTTAAACGCATTCATTAGTCAAAGCCGCCCTCGTCACATGACTCACGGAAGCCGAATCGCTTAAGTTCATGTTGTGAATGAAATTCTTAAAGGAATGTTTAGTTTAAACCGCCTCGTTTCAGATTCACGGGCGTCCGGATGAGTCGCAGCGGGCCGAAGAGCGACACCCTCGTAATCGCATATCTGCAGTTTGTCGTGTATTTTGGTCCAGAAGTTGCTTTGTAAGTTATATGCACATCGTGCATAAACCCTTGTTTGCGATGAGTAGCTGCAGTTTCCTCTTTTACGTGTTTTGGCAAAATGGTGCTAATCAGACGATGTTCCTCTGGAAATGCCAAGGTTGTTTTGGTGAACCTTGAGTTTGTGTCTTCGCTCTCTGCAGAAGCTCTTGGTGATTTGAGACCGGCTTTTACAATGGTTTGTATCAGACGCCCTCGGTCACGGTGAGGTTGATCTGTGTCACTGTGGTGTCACATGCTTTCGGCTGGAGAAAACCAACGACCCGAACGCTCAAGTGTTCTGCACTCGTGACCGCCGAACGCATCGGTGTGTTGATGTTCGACGGCACGTCTTCTGTTAAGGGTGTCTCTCCTCGGTCCTGACGTCTCTCCTTCCCCTCAGTTGAGTGTTTCTGGAAGCTGAAACTCTGCGGTGAAGAAGTACGTGTGTCTTCAGAAGAGAAGCTCTGTGTTTATATGCATGTTTGCATAACGTTCGCCTCTCGTGCTGTTGTTGGATAGATGGAGATTTGGTTTATGCAGGAATGTGTGTGTGTGTGGGTCTGTGTGTGTGTGCGCATCTCCGTTCCTCAAGTGCAGTTTTAGTATTTGTGTTTATCCTCTCGCGTCCATCCGATGAATCCAGAAGCCTCTCAGGTTTGCGACGTCAGCTGAACATCATCCGCTTCATGTGTGACGTGGAAGTTCAGGCTCGAGACGCCGGAGGTCTTGTATGATTTTAGTCTCCACCAGAAACTTGTTTGTTTTTTTCATTTTTATGTAATGACCAAATATTTTCTGTCATGTATAATAAATATCACAAGCATCATTTGGTGTCGAGGTTTGCTGCCTTTCTGATGCGTTTCAGTCGTTCGTCTGTGTGAAATGCATCTCAATGAAGAACTGTTGCTTCAAACAAGTGTTTTAGTATCATTGAGGTTTTATTAACATTTTGAATTAGCATTTTTTATATATATATATATATTCCACTTCCATGTTAGTTTCAGTTATTTATTTCGTTGTGTTATTTTTAAGTGTTTTTTTTTTTATGTCTATACATATTTTATATCGTGCCCACAGATTTGTTCCCCTCGTTTTAGTAAATAATGGCCGCGGTGAAATAATTTGTTCACTTGTTTTGTTTTAACTAGAATGAGGTAATGAATTAATATAAGTAAAATCGAGCGCACAATATATATATAAAGTCCCCCTGTGGTGAAAATCCAGCTTTTAATGTTGTTTGTGTCTATGTGGTGTTTTTAATATGCTTTAAGACACACCGTGTGTAAGTTCATAAGTCGACAGCATTGCTGAGTATTTTCTGCTTAAAACTGCAGTGAACCAAAGACAGTCTCAAAAACACGGTTTGAAATCGCTGGTGTTTCTGAAGTCACAAACGACCTTGTAACCAATCAGATCAACGTGTGATCGTCAACCAGTGGATCTCTGAGCTGAGTGAGTGAGTGGAGGCGGGGCTCATTTGCATATTCATAGAACCGCACATACTAAATGAGGCAAGGGTGTCGAGTTACATTCAAGATATTTTAACGCATGAAGACATTTTTTTCAAATGAACAAATGCTTAAATGTGTTATTTTGGTGATCAAACATGAGATCATTACACATTATATGAAGAATCTGTCACTCATAAGCAGTGTTGGAGGGTAATGCAAGGTATGTAATTGGATAAAGTAAAGTAACTCATTTTAAATGTATTAAGCAATGTCTTTGCTGCTGACCTTCAATGATCCAATTGTACCATACTAGGCGAAATATCTTTAGTTAAGCGGCAGTTCAGCTGAAGGGTTAGTTTGAGCAGCGCCCTCTACTGTACAGGAGTGAACTTGCTTTTTCATTTCACTTTTGGTCTGGAAGGGCCTTAACATTTGCCAAAAGTACAACTTTTTTCGTTGTTCTTGTTAAAAACAAGCAAAACAAGCCCAGCCAAGATGAGTAAGGTAAAAGTAAACTAATGCATTACTTTCCATAAAAAGTAACTTGTCACGTTTTGGGGAGTATTACAATATTGTAACACTTTACTTTTTAACTTCCCCAACACTGTTCATACACATTGATTTTTGCTGAATTACTTTTATTTTTTATTCCGTGGCGGAAACAAGCTTCCATAAATACATGACATCCAGTGAGTGAAAACAAAAAACTGCAAATCAAACACTAGTAAATGATGCAGCTGTGCTGAGAATACCAGACGGTTAATGAAGGAGCAACACACACTGCTGAAAGAAACTTTATTTTTGCAGGACATTCACAAGTGCCACTGATATCCTGCTTTTACTCTGTTTAATTCAGATTATCTGACCTGCTTAAATATCACCACAGTTCAAGAGGCAACAAATGCCTAAAACTCCAAACACAGTTTTCATATTTGTGCACATATCTGACGAGGTGGTGTGTTGATCCGGTTCTGGGTGCAAGAACACGTACAGAAATCCCCAAATCTTCAGAATCACACTCGAACCTTTAGGGAAGTATTTGGAGAAGTGTCCATGGGATAATGACACTATTGAGTGATTGTTTATTTACAGGGGCTGCTTATGTCTGGTAGTGAAAACGGTCTAATACACTTTGGACTGAGACGCACGTGTGTTTAAAAACTCATAATAGTGTTGTTTAACGGTGATGCTGTGGTGAGATTCTGTTGTGCTTGTGACCGATTAGTCATAACTCTTAATGTTTGTTCACACCAACAACAATAACTATAACGATGAAGACGGTTATAAAAATGGTTCTAAATACAACAGAATATCGTTCTAGAGAGAAACCATATCCACAGCTAAAACTACTAGCCTAACTGATATAAATCTAAAACATTATTCATTGTCTCTATTAAAGACAAGTAACAGTAGTTTTTAGTTAAACAAATGTACATAAAAAAATTGATTTTTTTTTAGATTAATCCTAAAAGTTTCAAAAGTTATTCAGTCAAGGGCAATGAGTTTTTAATTTTATTTTCTTTGTTTAACATTAAAACACAAACGGCACCAGGAATATTAGGCTCCTGTCACTTTAAGAGCGACGCCACGGATCTAATACAGGTGAAACTCGAATTCAAATATCGTGCAAAAGTTCATTTATTTCAGTAATTCAACTTAAAAGGTGAAACTAATATATTATATAGACTCATTACATGCAAAGTGAGATATTTCAAGCCTTTATTTGTTATAATTGTGATGATTATGGCTTACAGCTTATGAAAACCCCAAATTCAAAATTAGAATATTGTGAAAAGGTTTTCATATCTGTAAGCCATAATCATCAAAATTATAACAAATAAAGGCTTGAAATATCTCACTTTGCATGTAATGAGTCTATATAATATATTAGTTTCACCTCTTAAGTTGAATTACTGAACTTTTGCACCATATTCTAATTTTCGAGTTTCACCCGTATAACTATTACACATAAATTGTCTTTCGCGACTGATCACTCAAGCCGTATCCAACTGTGTTTACTAGCATACTCACATATTTTGCCACCATTTGTGTGTGTTTTTCCGTTCAAGCACAAGACGACGTGAAACAGAGCTCATTTCAGTATTCGCACGCTTTCTGAGACACGGCTTTCTGAGCGCACCAAACTTCCAGCGTAACGATTTGAGTTCCTTTTCGTGTCTTCTTGCGCTTGAATATTTTAATTGTCAAACCTTAAACTTTCACGCCGATGCGATGCTGGCTCGTCAAGTGTCCCGAGCGTCGGTAATGTTCACAACATTGCATTGTTAGAACTCATAACAAATGTTACCGGCCGACTGGCGATTGAGTTTCATACTCGCTGACACTGATTTTTACTCTCATTTGGCGCTTGGCAAGTGTTAATTTCCGGCCTTGAACAGAGCCATATCATGCGTCAGTGTGGACACTAATATAGTAATCACTATAGTTATCGCTCTTGGTGTGAACGGACCTTTATAGTTTACACCCACGTCTGCTCTTCTGGTCCTCCGGACTGCAACGAAGCGCTTGCGCCGGAGGAACTGTTGAGTTTTACATGCTGCAGAATCTCAGGCTTTTACTGCTCCAGTGAACACATCCAAACGCATTAACATATTCATCAAATGGACTTAACAGGGTTATGGCTGAGGGTGAGGTGGTGTTCACATGACGGTGCACTGAGTGGCTCCGCAGCAGTCTTTAATGAGGGCCGCGCTGCTCCGGCTCAGGGACGGCTTGTTCGTGGGAACTTCAGATGTTCGTGGTTTCGGAGCTCCTGTGGGGGACAGAAGAGCCAATCAGAGATGGACAGAAGAGCCAATCAGAGATGGACAGAAGAGCCAATCAGAGATGGACAGGAGAGCCAATCAGAGGTGGACAGAAGAGCCAATCAGAGATGGACAGAAGAGCCAATCAGAGATGGACAGAAGAGCCAATCAGAGATGGACAGAAGAGCCAATCAGAGATGGGCAGAAGAGCCAATCAGAGGTGGACAGAAGAGCCAATCAGAGGTGGGCAAAAGAGCCAATCAGAGGTGGACAGAAGAGCCAATCAGAGGTGGGCAGAAGAGCCAATCAGAGATGGGCAGAAGAGCCAATCAGAGATGGGCAGAAGAGCCAATCAGAGATGGGCAGAAGAGCCAATCAGAGATGGGCAGAAGAGCCAATCAGAGGTGGACAGAAGAGCCAATCAGAGGTGGGCAGAAGAGCCAATCAGAGGTGGACAGAAGAGCCAATCAGAGGTGGACAGAAGAGCCAATCAGAGGTGGACAGAAGCGCCAATCAGAGATGGGCAGAAGAGCCAATCAGAGATGGGCAGAAGAGCCAATCAGAGATGGGCAGAAGAGCCAATCAGAGGTGGACAGAAGAGCCAATCAGAGATGAACAGAAGAGCCAATCAGAGATGAACAGAAGAGCCAATCAGAGGTGGGCAGAAGAGCCAATCAGAGATGAACAGAAGAGCCAATCAGAGATGAACAGAAGAGCCAATCAGAGATGGACAGAAGAGCCAATCAGAGATGGACAGAAGAGCCAATCAGAGATGAACAGAAGAGCCAATCAGAGATGGACAGAAGAGCCAATTAGAGATGGACAGAGGAGCCAATCAGAGGTGGGCAGAAGAAAGAGCCAATCAGAGGTGGGCAGAAGAGCCAATCAGAGATGGACAGAAGAAAGAGCCAATCAGAGATGGGCAGAAGAAAGAGCCAATCAGAGATGGGAAGAAGAGCCAATCAGAGATGGACAGAAGAGCCAATTAGAGATGGACAGAGGAGCCAATCAGAGAAGGACAGAAGAGCCAATCAGAGATGGACAGAAGAAAGAGCCAATCAGAGATGGACAGAAGAAAGAGCCAATCAGAGATGGGCAGAAGAAAGAGCCAATCAGAGATGGGAAGAAGAAAGAGCCAATCAGAGGTGGGCAGAAGAGCCAATCAGAGGTGGGCAGAAGAAAGAGCCAATCAGAGGTGGGGAGAAGAAAGAGCCAATCAGAGGTGGGCAGAAGAAAGAGCCAATCAGAGGTGGGCAGAAGAAAGAGCCAATCAGAGATGGGCAGAAGGAAGAGCCAATCAGAGATGGGCAGAAGAGATGGGCAGAAGAAAGAGCCAATCAGAGATGGACAGGAGAGCCAATCAGAGGTGGACAGAAGAGCCAATCAGAGATGGACAGAAGAGCCAATCAGAGATGGACAGAGGAGCCAATCAGAGATGGACAGGAGAGCCAATCAGAGATGGACAGGAGAGCCAATCAGAGATGGACAGAAGAGCCAATCAGAGATGGACAGAGGAGCCAATCAGAGATGGACAGGAGAGCCAATCAGAGATGGACAGGAGAGCCAATCAGAGATGGACAGGAGAGCCAATCAGAGATGGACAGAAGAGCCAATCAGAGATGGACAGAAGAGCCAATCAGAGATGGACAGGAGAGCCAATCAGAGATGGACAGGAGAGCCAATCAGAGATGGACAGAAGAGCCAATCAGAGATGGATAGGAGTCAGGGGTCACATGACTTCTAGCTGCGTTCACGCCATGTCAGAATTACAGAGATTACGACTTCGCGTTCACGTCCTTGTAAAACCATAATGGTAACACTTTACAATAAGGTTCATTAGTCAACATTAGTTAATGTTTTAACTAACAATGAGCAATACATTTGTTACTGTATTTGTTAATGTTAGTTATTAAAAATACAGCTGTTCATTGTTAGTTGACAGTGCATTAACATTAGATTTTAATAAAGTATTAGTAAATGTTAAAATGAACATTAACAAAGATTAATAAATGCTGTATACGTGCAGGTCATTATTAGTTAATGCTAACTATGTAGTCAACTAATGAACCTTATTGTAAAGTGTTACCCTCATAATAATAACTTAGAGAAATATATTTATTGACTTGTACCGCCTGACCGCTTTTTGCCATTGATAGTGTTTGCCATAACTCATAATTCCCAAACCTATGGTCCAAACATAGACAGCCACATGTTATCCCGTAACGACGGCATTCGTGTCCTCCTGGGAAGTTCGTATTTACGAGTTGGGAAGTCGGGATTACGACGTCAGGTTCAAGTCACTGTGACTCGGAAACTCTGAGCTCAAAATCCCCAGTTTCCCACTCGTAATCACGACTTCGTGGAAACATTCATGTGTTCAACGCGCAAAAATGATGTTTCCGACATGACTTGAGCGCAGCATTATTCAGCATTATATAGTTTCAACTTTTTTTCTTATACATTTTTATTTCAAAATTCAAACATTTAGGAAACATAAATCAAAAATCAGATCAAATGTGTACAAACAGATGCCACAAATAACTTGAAACCTGTTTGACACTGACTGGTTACTTGTTAAAGCAACTGCCTCACGTCACACTACGTGCAACACTGTCATGTCAAGGTCAAAGTTGAGCTGTGTGTGTGTGTGTGTGTGTGCCCAGTGCAAGTCATGTGAAAACCCCTTAAAGTCACCATGAAATCAAAATGCACATTTTTTTTAATGGAATATTAGTTTGTTGCACATCAATATTGTTTTAATAATCCTGCAGCATCTCTTCTCTGATGACGAGGGCGGGGCTATAACCTGTCACTCACATGAGATCAGCCAATAGCAAACCACAACCATCCAATCAACTCCCCACAGACAAATCAAACCCCGCCCACATGTGTTCCTGTTCCAGAAGCGTTTCACTCGATATACGACACAGAGGAGAAAACACTAGTGTGACTTCTTTCATGATGACTTTAAGAAAGGCCTCAGATCTCTCATAGTGAAATAAACATTTATGTGAGAAATTAAAGCAAAGGAAGTGTCCCGTCTCATGAGCGAACTCTTACTCTGTATTCCGCTGAGCTTCTGTCGGAGGAACTCGGCCATCTCTTTATCCTCCTCCTGCTCCCTGTAACACACACACACACACACACACCGGGAAACTCACTCAGTCTGAGGAACTACATGTGACCACACGTGTCGCCAATAAAAGCTGTGATGTATTTAAGTCAATGTGGTAACACCTCACAATAAGGTTCATTAGTTACCATTAGGTGATGTATTAACTAACATAAACTAACAATACATTTGTTACAGTATTGATTAATCTGTGTTAATGTTAGTTAATAAACATCCAGCTGTTCATGTCAGTTCACGGTGCATTAACTAATGTTAACAAATACAGCCTTTGATTTTAATAACGTATTAGTAAATGTTGAAATTAATATTAGCTAAGGTTTATAAATGCTGTAGAGTTATTGTTCATGTAAACTAATGAACCTTATTGTGAAGTGTTCTCGTTGATCTTGTAGTTTTTTGTATGTAGACTAGTCACTAGTGCACTCTTAGAAAGACAAGATAAGAAACAAAAAATTTCTTACAAAATTTAAATCGATATATTGATTTGAACTATTTCACATGATCATTTTGAAGAAAAAACTCAAGATCCAGTTATATCAGTTATTTTCTACCGATAAGATGTTTAATTCATATTAAAACAAGATGAAGTGTGATAGATCCCCGTAAAGCCTTTAAACACGGGAAGCGTTCCTGACCTCCGCCGCTCGACCTCTGCGTCCTCCACCAGGAAATCTCTCTTCTGCACCAGCTGATGGATCTCCACCAGTAACGTCTCCTCTCTCCGGCGCTGCTGCTTCGTCTTCTCTGCGTCTGTGTGTTCAGGTGAGTGTGTGTTAGATGAGAGTATATGGACCGCTCACATAAATTACATCTGAAACGTCATCCAGCAGGTTTGAGTCTCAATAGGAGAAAATAATTCTCACTGGTGAAAATATGCTCTCATAATGTTTTGCTAACGTTTAAATTCATGTTCCCTGGATGTTCAAAACGTCCCCCTGTGGTGAAAATCCAGCTTTTAATGTTGTTTGTGTGTCTATGTGGTGTTTTTAATACGCTTTAAGACACACCATGTGTAAGTTCATAAGTCGACAGCATTGCTGAGTATTTTCTGCTTAAAACTGCAGTGAACCAAAGACAGTCTCAAAAACACGGTTTGAAATCGCTGGTGTTTCTGACGTCACAAACGACCTTGTAACCAATCAGATCAACGTGTGATCGTCAACCAGTGGATCTCTGAGCTGAGGGAGTGAGTGGAGGCGGGGCTCATTTGCATATTCATAGAACCGCGCATACTAAATGAGGCAAGGGTGTCGAGTTACATTCAAGATATTTAAAGGCATTGCAACATGACATCATGACTTTGCGTAAACATACACGCCACTTTCAAGTCAAGTGGCGTGTTATCTATACGCATTTTGAGCTATTGCGTGTATGTGCACGCCGAAACGAACCGTCATCTTTTGCGTGTATGTCTACGCCGTTAAATGTCCGAGCGAAATGAAGCAAAATGTAGATCTACATCTGGGGAGCAATATTTTTTTCCCTAGTATGGTAGGGGAAGATTCATAGATGGTATTAACCCCAGTGACGGGTAGGTTTAGGGACGGGGTTGGTGTAGGTCATACATTTATATATACAGTAATATAACGTTAAGTCAATGGCGTTGATAAACACGCTGAAAAGCGATTATGCGTGTTGATAGCACGCCAAAAATGGTAATACGAATTGGCGTGTGATACATAAGCCATTTCATGAGATCAGTCTGGGCATGAAGACATTTTTTTTTCCATGGAAAAAAACTTTTAAATATGTCATTTTGGTGATCAAAGATAAGTTTTAAGGGATAAAATTGACTACAGATGACTTTAAATATATATATATATATATATATATACAGGTCCTTCTAAAAAAATTAGCATATTGTGATAAAGTTCATTATTTTCCATAATGTAATGATAAAAATTAAACTTTCATATATTTTAGATTCATTGCACACCAACTGAAATATTTCAGGTCTTTTATTGTTTTAATACTGATGATTTTGGCATACAGCTCATGAAAACCCAAAATTCCTGTCTCAAAAAATTAGCATATTTCATCCGACCAATAAAAGAAGTGTTTTTAATAAAAAAAAAAAAAATCAACCTTCAAATAATTATGTTCAGTTATGCACTCAATAGTCAATACTTGGTCGGGAATCCTTTTGCAGAAATGACTGCTTCAATGTGGCGTGGCATGGAGGCGATCAGCCTGTGGCACTGCTGAGGTGTTATGGAGGCCCAGGATGCTTCGATAGCGGCCTTAAGCTCATCCAGAGTGTTGGGTCTTGCGTCGCTCAACTTTCTCTTCACAATATCCCACAGATTCTCTATGGGGTTCAGGTCAGGAGAGCTGGCAGGCCAATTGAGCACAGTAATACCATGGTCAGTAAACCATTTACCAGTGGTTTTGGCACTGTGAGCAGGTGCCAGGTCGTGCTGAAAAATGAAATCTTCATCTCCATAAAGCTTTTCAGCAGGTGGAAGCATGAAGTGCTCCAAAATCTCCTGATAGCTAGCTGCATTGACCCTGCCCTTGATAAAACACAGTGCACCAACACCAGCAGCTGACATGGCACCCCAGACCATCACTGAAGGAAATGCCAAAATGCCTGAAGTCCAGTCTTCCTCCAGACTCTGGCACCTTGATTTCCGAATGACATGCAAAACTGAGCAACAGTCCAGTGCTGCTTCTCTGTAGCCCAGGTCAGGCGCTTCTGCCGCTGTTTCTGGTTCAAAAGTGGCTTGACCTGGGGAATGCGGCACCTGTAGCCCATGTCCTGCACACGCCTGTGCACGGTGGCTCTGGATGTTTCTACTCCAGACTCAGTCCACTGCTTCCGCAGGTCCCCCAAGCTCTGGAATCGGTCCTTCTCCATAATCTTCCTCAGGGTCCGGTCACCTCTTCTCGTTGTGCAGCGTTTTTTGCCACACTTTTTCCTTCCCACAGACTTCCCACTGAGGTGCCTTGACACAGCACTCTGGGAACAGCCTATTTGTTCAGAAATTTCTTTCTGTCTTACCCTCTTGCTTGAGGGTGTCAATGATGGCCTTCTGGACAGCAGTCAGGTCGGCAGTCTTACTCATGATTGCGGTTTTGAGTAATGAAACAGGCTGGGAGTTTTTAAAAGCCTCAGGAATCTTTTGCAGGTGTTTAGAGTTAATTAGTTGATTCAGATGATTAGGTTAATAGCTCGTTTAGAGACCCTTTTCATGATATGCTAATTTTTTTAGACAGGAATTTTGGGTTTTCATGAGCTGTATGCCAAAATCATCAGTATTAAAACAATAAAAGACCTGAAATATTTCAGTTGGTGTGCAATGAATCTAAAATATATGAAAGTTTAATTTTTATCATTACATTATGGAAAATAATGAACTTTATCACAATATGCTAATTTTTTGAGAAGGACCTGTATATATATATAGATTTTATTCTTGATTATACAAATATTATGGGAATGTCCTTTGGAATGTTCTCCGAAACTAGTAGTAACATTTAAAGGGATACTCCACTTTTTTTGGAAATAGGCTCATTTTACAACTCCCCCAGAGTTAAACTGTTGAGTTTTACCGTTTTTGAATCCATTCAGCCGATCTCCGGTTCTGGCGGTACCACTTTTAGCATAGCTTAGCATACATCATTGGAGTGGACAAGACCATTAGCATTTCTCAAAAAAAAATGACCAAAGAGTTTCGATATTTTTCCTATTTAAAACTTGACTCTTCTGTAGTTACATCGTGCACTAAGACCGACGGAAAATGTAAAGTTGCGATTTTCTAGGCTGATATGGCTAGGAACTATACTCTCATTCCTGCGTAATAATCAAAAAACTTCACTGCCGTACCATGAGATCAGCAGGCGTAATGATATGACGCAGCGCCTGAAAATAGTTCCGTTGTGTTGACGGAAGGTGGCCTATTTTCAGGCGCTGCATCATATCATTACGCCTGCTGATCTCATGGTACGGCAGTGAAGTTTTTTGATTATTACGCAGGAATGAGAGTATAGTTCCTAGCCATATCAGCCTAGAAAATCGCAACTTTACATTTTCCGTCGGTCTTAGTGCACGATGTAACTACAGAAGAGTCAAGTTTTAAATAGGAAAAATATCGAAACTCTTTGGTCATTTTTCTTTTAGAAATGCTAATGGTCTTGTCCACCTCAATGATGTATGCTAAGATATGCTAAAAGTGGTACCGCCAGAACCGGAGATCGGCTGAATGGATTCAAAAACGGTAAAACTCAACAGTTTAACTCTGGGGGAGTTGTAAAATGAGCCTATTTCCAAAAAAAGTGGAGTATCCCTTTAATAAAGGATTAGTCGTTTCATTAACGATGTATAAATAATGTTTTGTGCTAACGTTTTGAGAACATTATTAAAGATAACCGAACAAACGTTCTATTAACGTTACTGGAAGAACGTTTGTCCATAACCTTGCTAGACTGTTCTCTGTCCGCTGGGTCTCGTTTGCTGGATTTCCACTCAGCTATACATGCAAAGTTTGAATTTGTGCTTAATTGCAAAAATCATCAGAATAAATTCATAAAAGTTTATAATACAGTGTATTTTCAGTAGTTGTGTATACTGTAGTTGACGGAAACACGTTCTCTTCAGTCACCTGGCACTGTCACGATCTTCCTCAGCTCCTGTTTCAGGCTCATGATGTCTTTGCAGAGTTGAACATCGTCCATCCTGAGAAGAACAAGAGAATCTCAGCGTTTGGTTCAGACACTCGCATGAATCTGAGCGTTTGGTTCAGACACTCGCGTGAATCTGAGCGTTTGGTTCAGACACTCGCATGAATCTGAGCGTTTGGTTCAGACACTCGCATGAATCTCAGCGTTTGGTTCAGACACTCGCGTGAATCTGAGCGTTCGGTTCAGACACTCGCATGAATCTGAGCGTTTGGTTCAGACACTCGCATGAATCTGAGCGTTTGGTTCAGACACTCGCATGAATCTGAGCGTTTGGTTCAGACACTCGCATGAATCTGAGCGTTTGGTTCAGACACTCGCATGAATCTGAGCGTTTGGTTCAGACACTCGCATGAATCTGAGTGTTTGGTTCAGACACTCGCATGAATCTGAGTGTTTGGTTCAGACACTCGCATGAATCTGAGCGTTTGGTTCAGACACTCGCATGAATCTGAGCGTTTGGTTCAGACACTCGCATGAATCTCAGCGTTTGGTTCAGACACTCGCATGAATCTGAGCGTTTGGTTCAGACACTCGCATGAATCTGAGCGTTTGGTTCAGACACTCGCATGAATCTGAGCGTTCGGTTCAGACACTCGCATGAATCTCAGCGTTCGGTTCAGACACTCGCATGAATCTGAGCGTTTGGTTCAGACACTCGCATGAATCTCAGCGTTTGGTTCATACACTCGCATGAATCTGAGCGTTTGGTTCAGACACTCGCATGAATCTGAGCGTTTGGTTCAGACACTCGCATGAATCTGAGCGTTTGGTTCATACACTCGCATGAATCTCAGCGTTCGGTTCAGACACTCGCATGAATCTGAGCGTTTGGTTCAGACACTCGCATGAATCTCAGCGTTTGGTTCATACACTCGCATGAATCTGAGCGTTCGGTTCAGACACTCGCATGAATCTGAGCGTTTGGTTCAGACACTCGCATGAATCTCAGCGTTTGGTTCAGACACTCGCGTGAATCTCAGCGTTCGGTTCAGACACTCGCGTGAATCTGAGCGTTCGGTTCAGACACTCGCGTGAATCTGAGCGTTTGGTTCAGACACTCGCGTGAATCTGAGCGTTTGGTTCAGACACTCGCATGAATCTGAGCGTTTGGTTCAGACACTCGCGTGAATCTGAGCGTTTGGTTCAGACACTCGCATGAATCTGAGCGTTTGGTTCAGACACTCGCGTGAATCTGAGCGTTTGGTTCAGACACTCGCGTGAATCTGAGCGTTTGGTTCAGACACTCGCGTGAATCTGAGCGTTCGGTTCAGACACTCGCGTGAATCTGAGCGTTCGGTTCAGACACTCGCGTGAATCTGAGCGTTTGGTTCAGACACTCGCATGAATCTGAGCGTTCGGTTCAGACACTCGCGTGAATCTGAGCGTTTGGTTCAGACACTCGCGTGAATCTGAGCGTTCGGTTCAGACACTCGCGTGAATCTGAGCGTTCGGTTCAGACACTCGCGTGAATCTGAGCGTTTGGTTCAGACACTCGCGTGAATCTGAGCGTTCGGTTCAGACACTCGCGTGAATCTGAGCGTTTGGTTCAGACACTCGCATGAATCTGAGCGTTCGGTTCAGACACTCGCGTGAATCTGAGCGTTTGGTTCAGACACTCGCATGAATCTGAGCGTTCGGTTCAGACACTCGCGTGAATCTGAGCGTTCGGTTCAGACACTCGCGTGAATCTGAGCGTTCGGTTCAGACACTCGCATGAATCTGAGCGTTTGGTTCAGACACTCGCATGAATCTGAGCGTTTGGTTCAGACACTCGCATGAATCTGAGCGTTTGGTTCAGACACTCGCATGAATCTGAGCGTTTGGTTCAGACACTCGCATGAATCTGAGCGTTTGGTTCAGACACTCGCGTGAATCTGAGCGTTTGGTTCAGACACTCGCGTGAATCTGAGCGTTTGGTTCAGACACTCGCGTGAATCTGAGCGTTCGGTTCAGACACTCGCGTGAATCTGAGCGTTCGGTTCAGACACTCGCGTGAATCTGAGCGTTCGGTTCAGACACTCGCATGAATCTCAGCGTTCGGTTCAGACACTCGCGTGAATCTGAGCGTTCGGTTCAGACACTCGCATGAATCTGAGCGTTTGGTTCAGACACTCGCATGAATCTGAGCGTTCGGTTCAGACACTCGCGTGAATCTGAGCGTTCGGTTCAGACACTCGCATGAATCTCAGCGTTCGGTTCAGACACTCGCGTGAATCTGAGCGTTCGGTTCAGACACTCGCATGAATCTGAGCGTTTGGTTCAGACACTCGCATGAATCTGAGCGTTCGGTTCAGACACTCGCATGAATCTCAGCGTTCGGTTCAGACACTCGCATGAATCTGAGCGTTTGGTTCAGACACTCGCATGAATCTGAGCGTTTGGTTCAGACACTCGCGTGAATCTGAGCGTTCGGTTCAGACACTCGCGTGAATCTGAGCGTTCGGTTCAGACACTCGCGTGAATCTGAGCGTTCGGTTCAGACACTCGCATGAATCTGAGCGTTCGGTTCAGACACTCGCATGAATCTGAGCGTTTGGTTCAGACACTCGCATGAATCTGAGCGTTTGGTTCAGACACTCGCATGAATCTGAGCGTTTGGTTCAGACACTCGCATGAATCTGAGCGTTTGGTTCAGACACTCGCATGAATCTGAGCGTTTGGTTCAGACACTCGCGTGAATCTGAGCGTTTGGTTCAGACACTCGCGTGAATCTGAGCGTTCGGTTCAGACACTCGCGTGAATCTCAGCGTTCGGTTCAGACACTCGCGTGAATCTGAGCGTTCGGTTCAGACACTCGCGTGAATCTGAGCGTTTGGTTCAGACACTCGCATGAATCTGAGCGTTTGGTTCAGACACTCGCATGAATCTGAGCGTTCGGTTCAGACACTCGCATGAATCTCAGCGTTCGGTTCAGACACTCGCATGAATCTGAGCGTTTGGTTCAGACACTCGCATGAATCTGAGCGTTTGGTTCAGACACTCGCATGAATCTGAGCGTTCGGTTCAGACACTCGCGTGAATCTGAGCGTTCGGTTCAGACACTCGCGTGAATCTCAGCGTTCGGTTCAGACACTCGCATGAATCTCAGCGTTTGGTTCAGACACTCGCATGAATCTGAGCGTTCGGTTCAGACACTCGCATGAATCTCAGCGTTCGGTTCAGACACTCGCATGAATCTCAGCGTTTGGTTCAGACACTCGCATGAATCTGAGCGTTCGGTTCAGACACTCGCATGAATCTGAGCGTTTGGTTCAGACACTCGCATGAATCTCAGCGTTTGGTTCAGACACTCGCATGAATCTCAGCGTTTGGTTCAGACACTCGCATGAATCTCAGCGTTTGGTTCAGACACTCGCATGAATCTGAGCGTTTGGTTCAGACACTCGCATGAATCTCAGCGTTTGGTTCAGACACTCGCATGAATCTGAGCGTTCGGTTCAGACACTCGCATGAATCTCAGCGTTTGGTTCAGACACTCGCATGAATCTGAGCGTTCGGTTCAGACACTCGCATGAATCCCAGCGTTTGGTTCAGACACTCGCATGAATCCCAGCGTTTGGTTCAGACACTCGCATGAATCTGAGCGTTTGGTTCAGACACTCGCATGAATCTGAGCGTTTGGTTCAGACACTCGCATGAATCTGAGCGTTTGGTTCAGACACTCGCATGAATCTGAGCGTTTGGTTCAGACACTCGCATGAATCTGAGCGTTTGGTTCAGACACTCGCATGAATCTGAGCGTTCGGTTCAGACACTCGCATGAATCTGAGCGTTCGGTTCAGACACTCGCATGAATCTGAGTGTTTGGTTCAGACACTCGCATGAATCTGAGCGTTTGGTTCAGACACTCGCATGAATCTGAGCGTTTGGTTCAGACACTCGCATGAATCTGAGCGTTTGGTTCAGACACTCGCATGAATCTGAGCGTTTGGTTCAGACACTCGCATGAATCTGAGCGTTTGGTTCAGACACTCGCATGAATCTCAGCGTTTGGTTCAGACACTCGCATGAATCTCAGCGTTTGGTTCAGACACTCGCATGAATCTGAGCGTTTGGTTCAGACACTCGCATGAATCTCAGCGTTTGGTTCAGACACTCGCATGAATCTCAGCGTTTGGTTCAGACACTCGCATGAATCTCAGCGTTTGGTTCAGACACTCGCATGAATCTGAGCGTTTGGTTCAGACACTCGCGTGAATCTGAGCGTTTGGTTCAGACACTCACGTGAATCTGAGCGTTTGGTTCAGACACTCGCGTGAATCTGAGCGTTTGGTTCAGACACTCGCATGAATCTCAGCGTTTGGTTCAGACACTCGCATGAATCTGAGCGTTTGGTTCAGACACTCGCATGAATCTGAGCGTTTGGTTCAGACACTCGCGTGAATCTGAGCGTTCGGTTCAGACACTCGTGAATCTGAGCGTTCGGTTCAGACACTCGCATGAATCTGAGTGTTTGGTTCAGACACTCGCATGAATCTGAGCGTTTGGTTCAGACACTCGCATGAATCTGAGCGTTTGGTTCAGACACTCGCATGAATCTGAGCGTTTGGTTCAGACACTCGCATGAATCTGAGCGTTTGGTTCAGACACTCGCATGAATCTGAGCGTTTGGTTCAGACACTCGCATGAATCTCAGCGTTTGGTTCAGACACTCGCATGAATCTCAGCGTTTGGTTCAGACACTCGCATGAATCTGAGCGTTTGGTTCAGACACTCGCATGAATCTGAGCGTTTGGTTCAGACACTCGCATGAATCTGAGCGTTCGGTTCAGACACTCGCATGAATCTGAGCGTTTGGTTCAGACACTCGCATGAATCTGAGCGTTTGGTTCAGACACTCGCATGAATCTGAGCGTTTGGTTCAGACACTCGCATGAATCTGAGCGTTTGGTTCAGACACTCGCATGAATCTGAGCGTTTGGTTCAGACACTCGCATGAATCTCAGCGTTTGGTTCAGACACTCGCATGAATCTCAGCGTTTGGTTCAGACACTCGCATGAATCTGAGCGTTTGGTTCAGACACTCGCATGAATCTCAGCGTTTGGTTCAGACACTCGCATGAATCTCAGCGTTTGGTTCAGACACTCGCATGAATCTCAGCGTTTGGTTCAGACACTCGCATGAATCTGAGCGTTTGGTTCAGACACTCGCGTGAATCTGAGCGTTTGGTTCAGACACTCACGTGAATCTGAGCGTTTGGTTCAGACACTCGCGTGAATCTGAGCGTTTGGTTCAGACACTCGCATGAATCTCAGCGTTTGGTTCAGACACTCGCATGAATCTGAGCGTTTGGTTCAGACACTCGCATGAATCTGAGCGTTTGGTTCAGACACTCGCGTGAATCTGAGCGTTCGGTTCAGACACTCGTGAATCTGAGCGTTCGGTTCAGACACTCGCATGAATCTGAGTGTTTGGTTCAGACACTCGCATGAATCTGAGCGTTTGGTTCAGACACTCGCATGAATCTGAGCGTTTGGTTCAGACACTCGCATGAATCTGAGCGTTTGGTTCAGACACTCGCATGAATCTGAGCGTTTGGTTCAGACACTCGCATGAATCTGAGCGTTTGGTTCAGACACTCGCATGAATCTCAGCGTTTGGTTCAGACACTCGCATGAATCTCAGCGTTTGGTTCAGACACTCGCATGAATCTGAGCGTTTGGTTCAGACACTCGCATGAATCTGAGCGTTTGGTTCAGACACTCGCATGAATCTGAGCGTTCGGTTCAGACACTCGCATGAATCTGAGCGTTTGGTTCAGACACTCGCATGAATCTGAGCGTTCGGTTCAGACACTCGCGTGAATCTGAGCGTTTGGTTCAGACACTCACGTGAATCTGAGCGTTTGGTTCAGACACTCGCGTGAATCTGAGCGTTTGGTTCAGACACTCGCATGAATCTGAGCGTTCGGTTCAGACACTCGCATGAATCTGAGCGTTTGGTTCAGACACTCGCATGAATCTGAGCGTTTGGTTCAGACACTCGCGTGAATCTGAGCGTTCGGTTCAGACACTCGCGTGAATCTGAGCGTTCGGTTCAGACACTCGCGTGAATCTGAGCGTTCGGTTCAGACACTCGCATGAATCTGAGCGTTTGGTTCAGACACTCGCGTGAATCTGAGCGTTTGGTTCAGACACTCGCGTGAATCTGAGCGTTCGGTTCAGACACTCGCGTGAATCTGAGCGTTTGGTTCAGACACTCGCGTGAATCTGAGCGTTTGGTTCAGACACTCGCGTGAATCTGAGCGTTTGGTTCAGACACTCGCGTGAATCTGAGCGTTTGGTTCAGACACTCGCGTGAATCTGAGCGTTCGGTTCAGACACTCGCGTGAATCTGAGCGTTTGGTTCAGACACTCGCGTGAATCTGAGCGTTTGGTTCAGACACTCGCGTGAATCTGAGCGTTCGGTTCAGACACTCGCATGAATCTGAGCGTTTGGTTCAGACACTCGCATGAATCTGAGCGTTCGGTTCAGACACTCGCATGAATCTGAGCGTTCGGTTCAGACACTCGCGTGAATCTGAGCGTTTGGTTCAGACACTCGCATGAATCTCAGCGTTTGGTTCAGACACTCGCATGAATCTGAGCGTTCGGTTCAGACACTCGCGTGAATCTGAGCGTTCGGTTCAGACACTCGCATGAATCTGAGCGTTTGGTTCAGACACTCGCGTGAATCTGAGCGTTTGGTTCAGACACTCGCGTGAATCTGAGCGTTCGGTTCAGACACTCGCGTGAATCTGAGCGTTTGGTTCAGACACTCGCGTGAATCTGAGCGTTTGGTTCAGACACTCGCGTGAATCTGAGCGTTTGGTTCAGACACTCGCGTGAATCTGAGCGTTTGGTTCAGACACTCGCGTGAATCTGAGCGTTCGGTTCAGACACTCGCGTGAATCTGAGCGTTTGGTTCAGACACTCGCGTGAATCTGAGCGTTTGGTTCAGACACTCGCGTGAATCTGAGCGTTCGGTTCAGACACTCGCATGAATCTGAGCGTTTGGTTCAGACACTCGCATGAATCTGAGCGTTTGGTTCAGACACTCGCATGAATCTCAGCGTTTGGTTCAGACACTCGCATGAATCTCAGCGTTTGGTTCAGACACTCGCATGAATCTGAGCGTTTGGTTCAGACACTCGCATGAATCTCAGCGTTTGGTTCAGACACTCGCATGAATCTGAGCGTTTGGTTCAGATACTCACATGAATCTGAGCGTTTGGTTCAGACACTCGCGTGAATCTGAGCGTTTGGTTCAGACACTCGCATGAATCTCAGCGTTTGGTTCAGACACTCGCATGAATCTGAGCGTTTGGTTCAGACACTCGCATGAATCTGAGCGTTTGGTTCAGACACTCGCGTGAATCTGAGCGTTTGGTTCAGACACTCGCATGAATCTGAGCGTTTGGTTCAGATACTCACATGAATCTGAGTTCGGACTCGCGTCTCACCAGAACCTCCCGCAGGCGCTGAATACGAGCCATTTCTGCCTCGATCTCGTCTGGAGTCATGGAGCTTTCAGCCATCGACACGTCCATCTGGCCTAGAGTGCAAACAGATGGAGGGTGAGTGAGTGTGTGTGTGTGTGTGTGTGTGTGTGGGACATATATGGGATTTTTATTTCTCTGCCCTTGAGTGTACCGTCCCACATTTGGGATTTAGAATGTTCAGTAAAAATAAAAATAAATAAAAATGATTAATTATGCAAAAAAAATGGTAAGACGCTATAATGAAATTTCCACCATAGAGAACAATTTTGCCACTAAAAATGTATCAACAGTTATTATACTTCTTTACCAAGACAACAACAGAGAATCTGTTGAAATGTAAGATGAAATGTAAGACATGTGATGTATGAAGAAACATAACATTTATGAAACTGCCATTTTATTCTAAAAATGTCCCACAAGTTCACCTGCTCGTATCAGGTTGACGGACAACTCGAGCTTGAGCTTAATAATAATTACTCAAATGAGTCATAAAAGAACAGAAATAATATTAAATTAAATCTTCCGTTTAGAACTCCATGTGTTATTTCTTCCACAGGATGTTATTAAACACAACTTTTGTAATCTTTTAGTATCATTGAGATTATTAATATTTTGAATTAATATTTCATAGTTTGCATTTTTATTATTAAGTGATTTTTATTATGTCTGCAGTTTTTAATTTTTTATATTTGGCAACTAGCTAAAATTAGTTCAACTTTAAAATATTTTTTTATATTTTAGTTTGTTTGTTTATCCTATTTCAACATAGGCCTAAATGTTTATGGTTTTAGTTTTAATTAACTGTTATAATCTTGAAAGGGTCACAAATAGACAAACAAACGGTGACCCTTAAAAACACGAGAGGTCAACAGTGTTATTGAAAACTGATGTTTTTTCTTTTGATACAAATGTATAACAAAAAATAATAACTGATAGCATCAGCATAAATATCGCGTCTAACAACACTGCAATCATATCTATTAAACCTAATTTCGCACTGACAATAACACTAGTATCAATGACTGAATAAAATAATATCTGATAGAAACGCTAATGCACGTCTGAAAATAATATTGAAATCATATTTCTATCTAATAATTAATAAGACTACTATCACATGGACGATAACACTAATGTCACGTCAGGTAATGACAGCGAAACCATATCTGATAATAAGACTAATATGATATCTGATAATAATAACATTGTTCTGTCACCTTTGTCTCTGCTCCGGTTCGTCTCGCGCATCGCGCCGTATGTCTTCATCGTCCCGTCGCTCTCAGAAAGCGCTTTCTTCAGTTCCATGGTCAATGTTGGTGTCCCAGATGTGGGATTTCTCTGCTTTCTTTGATTTCGTCTCTGTAATCACGCTGATCTGCGCGCATCGAACAACATCCTGACAGAATAAAGCTCCGTGACGTCACCGTGATGTGGGATGCAGAGCGCATGCGCACACGGGACGACGGGCTGACACAAAACACTGGACAAATAGCGCTAATCTGGTTAACATCGATACCAGTGGCATTAAATGGCATGATACAATAATCATACTAAGTGGCCTATAGCTAGAGTGTTAAAATACAGGTGAAACTCGAAAATTAAGAATATCGTGCAAAAGTTCATTTATTTCCTTAAAAGGTGAAACTAATATATTATATCGACTCATTACATGCAAAGTGAGATATTTCAAGTCTTTATTTGTTATAATTTTGATGATTGTGGCTTACAGCTTATGAAAACCCCAAATTCAAAATTAGAATATTGTGAAAAGGTTTCATAAGCTGTTGAATTACTGAAATAAATTAACTTTTGCACGATATTCTAATTTTTCGAGTTTCGGTCATATACAAAATTAAAGATTATATTAGTAAGGTAGGCATATTCAAATCAATTAATTAAAAAAAGTTAGCAAAATACTAATTAAACCCCAGTCAGACACACATGCAATAAATAATAGTACAATAACTAAATGTCCCAGGAACCGTTTGTGAATCAAAAAATGAAGACGAACAAAACTAACATAATAAATTAATACAATTAAGGAGATTGGTTTCATCAAGAAACTCAAAATATTATGGTACGTTTACAATGTACAAATAAATATTACTACATTTATGTCCCGCGAATCGTGTTTGAATGACGGAATCAAAAAATGGAGACAAACAAAACTAATATATCAGGAAAAATTACATATTAAAAACTACCGTCTTTTAAAAAGGCAACCTCAAAAAGCAGGATCTCTCCAGTTAGTTTGGACTGGTCTCAAATAATCTCCATATGCTTTCCCAAATGTTCTGTAATCAACCTCATGAACAGCCCTACGGTGGTCAAAAACTCTCAACAGCCAGTCAGTTGAATCAGAAAGGGTTTACACTTTATTTCGAATATATAAAACACTTGATCACGGATACCAGGAGAGAGAAGAATGAGAGAAGGGACACACAAAAAGACCCGCAAGGCACAAATCATCTACACACAGTAAGTTTCACGCTTAACACGTCACACAGTGCTTAAAACTCAACGGGACACTACAATCCATAGGCACACAGTGAACACTATGGCAGAACTATCCGGTCTCGATTCCCCGACCTCCCTCCCTGGCCCGCTATTCGTTACACTCTCACAACAGTTCATTCATACAGGGATAAATTAAAAGCACTTCCCTCCCTCAGGGTGAAGAAGACCCATCCATAAAGGGTATTAGTGTGTGTGACTAGTTCCATAATATGGATCTGTGCATGACTCAAGAATTTTCAGAGATTTATGCACATTATTTGAACATGGTAAGGAAAAATATAAATATCAAGCTCACTGTATTACATAGGCCGACATGCTTATCCTAACAGAACTGAATTTTTCCATTAAACAGGTGATTACAACAGGATCCTGCTTGGAGACAGGTGTTTTATGACCCCATTCCCTGACCCAAACCCCAGACCAGTTGCAATGCAGCTCTAGCCAGGACAAGGGCACACTATGAAGTGAACTTTAGCCAACTAAAGTGTCTGAAAAGTCTGAGGGTTGCACCTGACAGGACCTGTGACATGGGCCATATTGCACCATCAGAAAAAATATAAAACATTTCATTAAATGTTTAATAAAAGACAAGACAAATATGCTTAGTTCCTTGATTTTAATTGTAATTGTTCTTTGTAAAGAAAAGCCAGTGATCAAGTCATCTTTTGTCAAGTCAAATATCAAGTCATAATATATATTGTACTCTGTGTGAAATAATATATTAGCACTTACTCTGAAGTTCCTAAGAAGCAACTCTATCTCTAGTGCCAGTTTTTCTTTCTTTAAGTTGTCAAGTATTTTCAAAATACTCTGTTTTCTAGGGGTAGGGGTACACCTGTCAAACACATGGCTCATGCATCAAAAATTAAAAGGAAAAGTACAACACTGCCCACCTCTGCATCACTGCTCTTCTGTAGATGTGGACTCCTGCAACTCATATTAGAAATAATAGGTACTCAAGTGTAAATTAAGTAAAGTTATTTATGCACTTTAAGATACCTGAGAGGGTTTCTTCACTGTCCTGTGCATTGGGGGAAAAATGGCCATTACAAAGTGTTTAGCTACTTTCTTCCCTTTTGATGTAACATTAGAAAAAGTCCACTTACTACTTGGGAACACATACAAGTGTTGGTGTATTGTTTAATACTGCACAAAAGAGGAAAACACAATTTCATTACAATGAAGTACACTGGGGGGAAATGTGATCAATAACTCAAGGCAACATATTTTTTTTTACATTAACTATGTAGTTTCACAGTCACTCATGTAGACTTCAAAGCAATTCATTGCTACTCAAGGTTTAACAGCTGATATGACAGCCATTTGGATTATAGGCCTACTTAATTTAATGCAGCAACAAATTATTTTACAGTGTACTAGGATCATTTAAAGTTGATTTCCCAGCAGTGAAGGTGTTCTGCTCCTGGCCTCTGGCTGTGGGTCTGAGGAAGAGCTGAACCCAGGGATGCCCTCCACAAGGTTCACACTCAACCCAAGGGTCAGCTCTTCTGCCTGGGTATAATGTGGGGGTGCAGGACCACCACCTGTTTGTTTTTCTTTTCTTTTTTTTCTCAGCATTTTTCTTGGTTGCTTTTATAATCAGGCAAACATTTATTAACAGTGCCTTTTTAAAAGAGATTAGTTAGTAGGCTACAAATTACTATTATGTAGAATATTCTAGTACTTCACTTTTACTTGTTCCCATGTTCTAGTAGTGGGTTGGTGACTCTGACATTACAATGAACAAAGTTATTAATTATTTAGAAATTATTCAAATATAAAAATATATACTGTAATAAGCATAGGCGGAGTTTGGGGGGGGCTAGGGGGGGCACTGCCCCCCCAGACCAGAGCCAATTAATGCCTGCCTTGTGCTTTGAAAAAAAAAAAAAAATACTGTATTCATATTTTCTCATTTTATTTGTCTTATCTTATCATTTTTGCGGGTATAATGAGTAAGTTAAGGCTAAATTATTTTTAATTACTGTATTGAAAAAGAAGCTAATTTTCTCACGACTGGCGGATCTCAAAGTATCGCGGTAAGTGAGGAATTTCCTGTGTGTTTTTCGCGTACAGACACGTCCGTTCACATGGATCCCCAAAAAGGACTAAAACCGCTGTATTATTCATGCCAGGCCGACTCTCCATGAGAGGATAAAGAACAGGCTGCGGTTGACGATGGGAGCAGCCAGGTTTTCTTCTCTTGCGATCCTTCACATCGAAAGCGACATTACGGCCAAGCTCTCACCTGAGACCATTATCGACGCAGGACGCAAAAAAACGAAAATTACTGTTGCACTAGTCTGAGCAATATCTAGGTCTGTAAGTTTTATTTCTCTGCCAAATAACTGCTTAAGATGGAGAAAAACTCAACACACTGCTTTCAATATGCTGTTCAATATGTTTCAAAAGTGGAGAGTAGGCTATGTGACCGTTAATTTTTCCCGTGTCTCAATGTTTTAAATGTTTCATGAAATGGCTACAACAAAATGCGAAATAACTTTTTTTTTTTTAATCGCTCTCATTGCCACAATTGTGTTTCAAACGTGGAGAGTAGGCTATTGTGTGACTGTTCATTTTTCCCGTGTCTCAAAATGTTTTAAATGTTTCATGAAGTACAATAAAATGCGAAATATAACTTTAATCACTCTCATTGCCACAATGTGTTTTGAAAAAAGGAAAGAAAAGAAAAACTAAAAATCTTTTTGTTTTGGTTGAAGATAATATTTTAACAGTGCAAAAGTGGTCCACATTTCATTTATCCTAATTGTGTCCGAACGACAATGATTGCTACATGAATGAATGAATGAATGCTACAATGATTTTTTTTTTTTTGCCCCCCCTGGCTCGAATGTCAAACTCCGCCTATGGTAATAAGTGATAAAAACATCTAACTACAAACTTAATTTGTCTGCTACGTTTTGCCAGCCCTCTCTCTTGGCTTTTGCACACTTTGAGGTGTTCCCTGGCGTTTTAATTAAGTTTTCAAATTCTGCATATCCTTCAAGCAATAACTCTTGCTCTTCTGTGGAGAAAAAAACTGAGCGCGCTCTTTGGCCACGGTGAGCAGCCAATAGCAGCGTTGCTGATCAATGTTTCTACTATCGATACATATCCCCTTTTAACCCAGCGCATGAACGCGCAATTATCTCAGATTACCCAATCCAGCGATACTAATCATAACCGGCAGGAGTGTTCGAAGAACCTAATTAGCCGGATCATGATGAGCACGATGATATTATCTTGGATGTCTCGTTTGATCTCGGATGTTTTAAGCAACGTACGAAGAACGGGCCCCGGGAGTTTAAGTTAGATCAGTCGGAATCAGAACTCGATGTAATGGAAAAACACAACAAGACGTCGTCGGTGAGAGACTGTCAGTTAACTGAATGATTGTTGGACTCAACTTTCAACGTGTAACGTGACAGAATAATACACTAACGTTAGGCTTTAGTTAGTTAGGGCCGTGCAAAAACTTGTGGTTGATTCTCTTAAAGTTTAGTGAAGGCAAAAAAATAAATGGTGTATTGTATTTTTACGAGTGTAGTAGACACAAAATATAGGCTAGGTATTATTACTACAAGTAGCCTTATCTACATTCCTCTCATGGACTTATTGTGGTGACACAGGTCATTCTCTCTTTTCAATTTTTTAAATCAAAACAATAATCCTATTCTTGCATTTCTGCGGCTCTGACGCGCTGCTGTGTGACGTCATGGAATGCATTCTATTCGACACGTCACTGCACTGGAGGCTTAAAGCTGCTCTCACTGAAACTCACTTGTGACTTTTTTGCCTTCAGTCTACAGCTTTTTATCAGTGTGCAATTTTATTTCCGTTTGGGTCTGTTTTTTAAGTACAGTTGAATTGCACATTACAGCTGTGTACGGTTTCAGATCATACAATTTGACCAGTAGGATTTTGGAT